GGTTGCCTGATAAGCTTTTCCCTCTCTGTTGTTTTTTTTTTTTTTTTTTTCCTCTGTATTTTTTTTTCTTTTCTGCTTTTTTTATTTTCTTTCCATTTTTACTTTTTGCTATTTCGTGACTTGACAATTTTATTTTTAATTTTATTTTCTTCCTCTCTAGCATGTGGTATTCAATTCTCTTTGATTCTTTTCCTCTTCTATCTCTCCCTTTCTCTCATGCTCTCCCCTCCACCTCCTTCTAACTCTTCTGTTTTTTTACCCTCATCCCCCTCTCCCCTTCCGGATTCATCCTTTCTCCCATCCTTGGTTTGCGGGGATGGTGGAAGCACCGGTTAAGTTTCATGTATCCCTCTATCAATCACCCTTTGCTTAAGAGCTCTAACTAACCTTTACTCAATAGTTTCGTATAGAAATTTACCCTTCTTCACTTACACTCTTGCTATAACACTGGCGCTCAGGTGGGGTAGAGGAATATGAAATGGGGAAAATGGTAGGGTTTAGAACAGGGAAGGGAAAAACACAACAAGCCAAAAAGCCGTTGGGGTAAAACGTGGCGTGAACCCTCCCTGTGCGTCAAAAAAAAAGAGGAGGGGTTAAAAAGGGCAAAGTGGAGGGGGAGCAGAAAGAGGAGAACTTGGAGGAGTCAGTGGAGGTGGCAGGTGGGGCTCTCAGAAAATTACCGGTTTTCGTTGATAAACTCAGGAATGAGATCATTCACAGCGTGCCAAGAAGAGGCTCTGCGGGGCGGCTCGAGCCGCCCGGTAGGAAACAGGACCAGGGAAGAGAGAACCTTGGGCTTTATTCCCCATACCGTAGAAACCCGACTAAACTCAATCTCGATCCCGCACTCTCTCGGTCGGGCGATTTCCCTTGTTTGTGGGGCTTGGGCTGATCCCCCCCTACGGGCGGTTCGCATGATTGGATGTGAGGAGAGAGGGATGAGGAGGAAGGGGTGGAGGGATGGGAATTTTTTCACCCTCTTAAACCCCCGAGCCCCCTAAGGAAACACAGAGGAGGTTTTGTCTGTCTCAGCCCGGCACAACTCAAACCCCCCATAGCCTAAACGCCTGGTGGTCCCGCCCAACCCAGCTTAGCTCCCTCCTGTGAAGGGTCTGGATGCACTGTAGGATGGGAGAGTGGTGGAACAAAGGTGCCCGTCGGTTGGTGCAGGTTTCTGATGACGATGCTACCCTACCTTCCACGTTAGCGTGATGAAAAAATTGGGGAAAAAAAACCCCCCCAATCGACCGGGAGTATTAATACATACCCCCTCACTCTCCTACAAATAAAGAGAGCCCCACCGGTATGTATGATATACTCCCCGCTAATCGATCCCCCGGAAACTTCCACATCTACTAGAGTAGAGGGGTGGGGGGGGAGAATCCAAGAGAAAAATAAATAAATAAAAAATCTACAAGTTACCCCGTTCCCATCCTCCGGCTCCGAGAGCTTTACTTGATACCGACACAACGGCACCGTATCACTTCCCTCCTTCTGTCCTCCTGGGCTGCGTCCTACGGCATCTCTAGGGGATCCCGCAAGCGCAGATAGTAGTGGGGGGGGGAAACGAATAGACACAAAGATAAGCTTATCATAGAAGCAACAAGCATAATACCGCAGTGTCTCGGATTGGGCAACAGTCAGGGTGGGGGGTCGTCACTCTCGGTTTTACCATTGCGATAGGTGGATTGTGGTTGAGGACTTGGAAATCACCGTCCGCCTTCGGGTAGCCCGGGAGTGACGGCTACCCCATCCAAGATCACTATACGGTGTATCATGCCGCGCGACCAGAGATAGGTGCCGGTACGATGGAGATAAACAAAAGTCCCATGATAAGCACGCGGGACACGATGGCATGCGTCAATATGCCGGTGTGCTCATCCATGCCATACTCATGCGGGTTCTGGCATGGTACCGCATGCACGGGTAGTAATCGCTAACCGGTACCAGTATTTCGGTGGGGATAGAAATGAAATGGATGTGTGGCCATGTAAGGTTGTTTCCATACATATATCATGCGGGCTCCGAGCAGGAGGGATGGCTACAACTTTGGATTGTGAGATCGCTCGAGTGAGAGATTGTGATGGTGTGATATAGGAACGAAGAAAAATGATAGTGTGTGATCATCATATTCATATTCTAGCTACTATCCGGAAATGGAGAGAGCGAGAAAGCGGGTCGGAAGCAAAGTAAAATAAACAACTCCTCATGATTCATTAAGTCACATGTCTATCGTAGCTGCAGCGTGCAGGATATCGAGTACAAAAAAACACCACGTCAGGGAAGATTAAACTTTTATCTATCCTGTCTGCTCCAGGAGATGTATGGCTTGCTGGGAACACATAACCCAATACTATGCATGATAGGGGGCCGTGACAAGAGTGCGATGGAATGGGCCAGCAAGGCCAAGTGCCCCCCCCCCCGCTTCTGTCCACAGGCCTGCTATTTGAAGAAAGAACCAAAAAATGGGAAGGAAAAAAAACTCATGCTCACAGAACTTAACTTCTCGTATATCCCCGATTCCCGCCAGTAGCTATTTCTTCCCTTTACCCTTCCCCTTCCCCTTCCCCTTCCCCCCTCCACCCGAAGCAGACTTTGCATGCTCCGGAAACTCCTGCAGGTGATTGAACATCTTCGTTTTACTCAGGAACTTTGCTCCGCAGCTCACGCACGTGATCTCTCCCGGAACGGCTGCCTGTTTAGCGGCCTTCTTTGCACGCTTTTGCTTTGCTTTTCCGATTTTGGGCGTTATTGAGGAGGAGGGGGAGGGTGGTGGAGAAGGATTTAGGCTGTTTGGGAGGGGGCTTTGGTCGTCTCCGTCTCCGTCTTCTGCTTCTTCTTCTTCTTGTTCGGCGTCGGGGACGGGGGCGGGGGGGGGTGGGTGGCTTCGGAATTGCCCTCTGGATCTGATGATTTTGCGCCTTGGCCCTTTGAGGGGGTCAGGTCGAGTTTTTGGAGATTTTTGTTGAGGGCGTCGTGTAGGGTGTTAGTCTTGGTGGTGTCTGGCTTTTCTAGCTCTTCCAATTCCTCATCTTCGGAGGATTCGATTGGGGCATCCTCTTGCTGCTTCTCAATCTCTCGGACGTCACGGTCTAGATCGAACTCTTTGTCCTCCTTCATCATTTGTCGTTTCAGTGCCCTCACATTCTTGGTGTGCTTTTTGCTCTTCTCGTGTTCGCCCATTTGCCTTTCCGACCAAAATGTCTTCTTGCAAACGATGCACTCGTATTTCTCGACCGTTTCCTCCTCAAGGCCGTCCGAGTCCTCGTCTGCTCCATGGGACGTTCGGGTCCAATCCGCAGCCTTGAATTCCCTTAACTTGGCAAGGTTTTCCCTGCGCTGACGCGTCGCCTGCTCCCTAGATGCCGCGAGAAGGGCCGCCTGACGTTGGGCCTCGCTCTGGGTATTCTTGATGAACCGGGGGTCGCGTTTCCGTACGAAGAGAACGAAGGACTGTTCCACAATCAGTTCAGGCCTAAAAGGGACCGTAGCAACCAAACGCACCCTGACAGAACTATCAAACTCCCTGATCCCTGCATCTCTAAACTTTTTATTCTCTTTCTCCATAATCCTCTTTACCCTTCTATCGGGCGCATCCGAGTAGCGGTAAACATCGCACCAACTGAAACTCTTCAGGGTCTTGAACCCACCCCACGCAGCATAGAACTGCTTCACCCAATCTTCGTGAGTACTCCTCGGGTTTCCAAAGTCCGGGTAATAAGGTTCATCCTCGCCTGCCTGCTCCGCCGCCGTAATCTCTTCGTCGGCCAATTTCTTAAATGCCGTGCCGGCGAGTGTGTAAAAGTTGTTTCGCGAGTCATCGTCGTAAGAGATCTTAGCGAACATGGAGAACCACTCCAGGACCTCTTCGGATGTGGTCACGCTGACGGGGTGCGAGGGGCCTCCGGAGACAGCTGAGTCATGGTCGCCGTAGAGGATCTGCTCGCGGTGAGAATCATACCACTCCCGTTCTTGGGGGTCCGAGAGGACCTCGTATGCCGCCTGGATCCCGGTGAACAGGCGGGTAGCTTCTTCGACGTTGCCATGGTTCCTATCAGGATGTAGTTCTAGAGCTTTCTTTTTGTAGGCTTTTTTGATACTATTCCCTAGTAAGCTAGTTGGCTTCCCTAATAGAAGGGTTGATAGTGGGGCAGAAGGGGAGGGCTATTTCGCTCGCATACATACTCGTCCTGAGTGGCGTCACGAGAGACTGCTAGTAGTTCGTAATAGCAAGTTTTGACAGCGGTGCCTGAACCGGAGTGTGTACCGCCCTCGCCATCGGAGGACCCGAGGTTCGTGGAAGCTCCTTGGCCCATGGCGGTGGTTTTGAGGAGGGCGTGGTTGATTGGTTGCGGTGGCGGAAAGAAATTTTGTGGGGTGGGGTCTTTAGGAACGTTAGACCACTCGAGTACACGGAGCCGCTTGGAATAGTGTTGGCTCAGGCTTGGTAACGTGACTCGGAGTGAGGAGTAGAGGGCAAAAGACTATTGATTGGCGGGTTTATTTGGGGGGAATGCGCGCCGGTTCTGCCGCTGGGTGAATGAAGGAATGAAAGGTTCTACGGTGGCGTTTGCCCCCAGCTCTCCGTTTTAGACCCTTTATTAGCCACGTAGATATTTGCTACTAGGTCTTTCTCATAGGCGATCACTCACTTCCCGGTGAGATACCAGTATTAGTAGGCATAAAATGCTACCTACTCGAGCACGCAACAACAGAGCCTTAGTAGAGACCAAACATGCAGAATTAGCTAGAGTAGCATTAGCCCCATAGTGGGTTTGATACGCTACCCTCCGAGAGCAGTAAACGAGCCAGCCAATTGAGGGCGCTGTGACAAGGCTTTTCTGTTTTGTTCCGTTCCCTTCCGAATCAGGATACTCATAGCAAAGACCCAGCTCACAGCCTGCAGATCCCGGCCCATACCATACACTGATTATGGCTTAACTCAAGCTTGAATCTCCCCTCTGGAAATCCTCGTGACGCCGGTTCATCACGAGTTAGGTAAGCTAGGTTGGGGTTGGTCTCTCGGATTCACACGAAATACTTAAACACACTGGCAGAGACACCCGAGACCTAGAGGAAGGTGGAAGCGGCCCATAGATACCTTGCTTCCGTTTCTAATCTCGTCTTCCTTTGCTGCCACTGTATCCTGCCCTCTTTTGCAAGGGATGCTTCGTTGTTGCCAAGAAGGAGGGGTAGCGGGCCACTGGCGACAGAGAGAAGAGAGGAGTCTGATCAAGCGGACTGATTGGGTCGATCTGATCACATTTTAGGTGATTTTTTGACGGCACAATACTGAGCACTAATATCGCACTCGAGTACTGGGCTGCGCTATCCCAGAAGGAACCGAATGTATGTCTGGATCACCTGATAAGGCCGCTGCCCTAATTATGCCTACGGCTCAACCTTACTCTTTCCCTTCCCGCCGGCGACAGGTTCCCGCCGCGCACCAGACACGTGGCAGTCCTGGATAGGCTAGGTGGGAGGGAGGCGGGGGAGGAGAGGAGATTTACGTGCAAAACACCTGAATGGGCAAAAACACTATTGAGAAAAGTACTACAATGAGTTAACACCTACAGGAACAACTGCCGGGGCTCAAGGTCTTGCGTGAGGAATTTGGAGCACTAGGTACTGCACAAGAGTGGTATCAACTAAATGTAAAAATAAAAAAAAGCAATGGCCGAAACTGTTGTTTCGTTTTCTTCTAATGCTGCTTAACCTTTAACTTATATGTGGAACCTTTTTACTACATAGCCCGGGTAATGGGGATTGAAATTGGTCAGAGGGCACTAACGGTTCCTCTGTCAAAGATTAATGAAACCAACAATGGCAAATACAATTCTAGGCATAGGGAGGTAACTCGGAAACGACAGGAGTTTCAGAGATTTCTTGCGAAGTTCTGGTCCTCCCGGCCAGGGAGATGTCTTCGAGATGGCATTGCGGAGCCGTCTTTAAAACACCGCATTGCAAAATGAAAGGGGGGGGGGCAACTAAGCAGCCAGGAATCCGCTAGGGCAAAACTTGCGGAGGGATCCCGAGACAGCAATGTATCCTCACGAGACTCCCTCGAGAAACACGTGATTTGCTGGGAGCTGAGTGGCGTTCTCGGGTGCTGCGTTCCTGCTTAATTGTTTCCAAAGGCAGGGAGTACACCGTTGGCTGGCAGCTAGTACTAGGAGGTAGCCTTGTATATGTCCCGCCCCACCAAGTCAAAAAAGCCAAATCTCCGAGTCCCGTATGGGTATTGAAGCTTGGGGAATGCACTCTCCATATCCACTAGGCCATCGCCTATCTCTTTAAGGTCTTCTAGACTGGATAATCTGTGGCAGCCCCGTGATAGATGTTTGGATGGGAAATCGGGATGCTCCGCCCGTCTGATGCTATCTTGTGCAGGCTAGGCGGACTAAAAGGGCGCTTGGGGAATTGCACGTTTTCAATCTTCAAGGAAATAGTCAGGTATTATGTTAGGATGATAGACTACGACGAAGTTGGTGGGATCTGTGAGAATCACATAGTGGTTTTCTTTAACAACGAATATCTGCCCAATAGAGCTGATTTTGGCCCTATGGAAATAGCCCATTTTGTCCCCCTGTTTTTGTTTTTTTGCAGGCGAGTATTAAAAATTGCAGCGTCTGCTCAAGCTCGCTCTAGACTTCGATTGAGCGAGTAATGACTAGGCCTAGTCACCAGCACCAAACTCCGAGCATGGAAGGCCCATAGGGCCGGGCCGGAAATACCAGAATGTCATACTAACTTGGTACCCTCCTGGGCCTGACACTAGTGCACGTTCCTAGTCTTCTTGAACTGTAGGATATTGTTGGTCACTCTGATATCGGTTGACCTTGTTCCTTTAGGAATAGAGGATTGGAGTAATTTACAGGTGTGAATTTTTGCGGCGCTACGGGCCTAATTTCCATAAGTCCACGCTCTTGGAGGCATTAGTGAAATATCCAAAAAAGTGAAGGGGGTAAAACAGGTGGAGAATTATGCTTATGGATGTGATAGCGGAGGAAATCTGTCGTTTATGGGAAGGAGGAAGGTCCTTCATATAGGCAAGCTGACCAAAAGTGCGCACACCTCTATGGAGAGGGAATAGGCTCTGGGATCAAGAGAGTAGTTAAGAGTCTAGAATTAAACCGGTAGCTCTATCATTTGGGCGTGGGGTGGGACGGTCGGACAAATCATATAGTGTCACTCGGGAAGAATCAGAGCTCGAACTGTAGGTTTACATAAGAGTAGGATAGCATATAATAGGATGCAACCTGGTATCATAGCTTACCGCAAACTTACCCGATGCCGTTAGTATTATAATGTCGGTCAAAAAATGTGTTCTAGGTCTTAGAGATCTACCCAGGGGGTAAGGGTTTACATATAGAGTGTAGAGGGAAAGAAACCTTAACTTAAGTTTTTAAATATGCAATTAGCCTTCTGCATTCTGAAGGAGAGTATCATAGGCCCAACCTGGGCCTCACTCGGTAGCACCAGCCTGCGCGCGGTCCTCCTCATATGCTACCAAAGTCTCACCCTTAAGTCTCTGTATAACAGTCCCCTAAGCTCAATAGGTTGGCTATCTAAAACCTACTTGCTATAAGGAAGCTTAATGAATCAGCACCTTCCACAACATGTGCTCCTATAGCAAAAGACAGTATCATACTACGCGGCCTCCAAAGGTTGTGACACCCAATACCGTTTTCCGGTACTGTACCCGACAACGGCAAGTTATGGTACCTGATCAATTACGCAGAATACCACAAGAACCATATTATTCAAACACTGGGAAGGGATTAATTTGCATTGCAGACTCGGCAAAGAACTAGCACATAATATAGAAGGGCACAGCAAGAGAGAGAAAGTGTAACTTGGGGGTGGAAATGATTTCAGAAACCTCACTCTAACTAACCACTTTTTAAGACAGCCGGTTTACCACTCCGACCGCTACAGAAACTGAACCTCAAATTGCAACTCCGCTTACCCCTTCCAACTCCCTATCTGCCAAGTTCTAATGAGTGCATTTCCACAACTCCACAGCGTGATTTCTCCTCTCCCTGCCTTCCCGCTGCCCCGATAGTCTACTTCAAGTTCTTGTTCATACTATAAACCATCTCCGAGCTCCTGCGAATTCTGCAGGAACTGGATGAATTGCCAAAAGACATCGCACCCACTGCACTGGCTCTTGCAATGCCGTCGGGCCGTATATGGTACTGTGCGTGGCATTACAAAGCGTGGTAGTAGTGGTCACAGCAGGTCCTGGGGGCATTTCTTCCTTGGGACAGGAAGTTGAGGGGAAAAAAAAAATCCTATGCTTTGGACTCATGAGACACCCATCCACTTCTCCAGAAGAGGCGATTTCTTTCCCTCTGCTTTTCTGGTATGATACCTGATTTATTTTCATGATTATCATGAGGTATCACTCGGTAAGCAGTGAAGCACGTATCGATGGGTGTCTACTAAGTTAATCGCTAGCGGTAAATCGAGACCAAGCGCACATGCAGGATCGGGCAGTGGCTTATCCTGCACAAGTACTCGAGTAGAAGTTGAGTGCGAATGCCGGTGATTGTCAGATATGGGGCGGGGCGCCTATGCGGTGGAGCCCATCAGTGGTTAAATCTATTGTTGGAGTATCATATTATACCACAAGACTGCGGGAATTCACCCTAACCAAATTGACTAAAGGTATAGTTTCCGGAACTGAAAAAAACAGAACACGATTAGGTGTTACGGAAATAGTGCTCTATTTCATGTCCCTCACTACTAGCGAGAAATAAGGAAGTGGGGTCCCTATTAACAAAGCCATATCACAGCATAACATTCTAATACATTCCTCCAATAATCGATCTGTGAGCTGCGGGAATATATTTCTCCGACATAGCACATCGCCGATCGCCCATTGTAAGTAACTCTTTGCAACATATTAGAGCCGTGCCAAAATAGGGGATAAAATGAACATGAGCAATTCATGCACACCATGTTAACCACTTCATGAGTCCCCATCAGATTATATGTTAAAGTAATTGGGAATCTAAAGACTATATCTCATCGCCCGTGCACTCGATGGGCATGGAAACCGCTTGTCATGGGGCCCGGTGTGCGGAGAGGTTGGAAATCTAGTTTAAGCACTCAGAGTCTATATAGCAGCTCAATCGGGAGGGTATTTAGTCCGGAAGTTTCCATCTCAGAAGTTCATGCTTGCTGCAAAACTATGACAATTTCCTCAAACCTTGAGGTTGATTTCAATATCCAAATATTTCACTGAGCGAAAAACTGCCGTAGCTAGGTGACTTCTGATCGGGCTATCATATAAAGCTACGAAAAACAACATTTTAGTGTAAAATGCACAGCCAATGATCAAACCCGCACCGAATTGTACAATACAAATCCTAGGCACTCCTAGAGAAAATACTCTTCACCACTCTAATTAGCTAAGACAAGCCTAACAATCGACAAATTTCAAATAGCCGGAGCAAGATAAACTCCCCGGAAAACCCAGAAATATGAGTTGAGATCTGCCAGTTGAAACGGTAAGAGCTAGTAAGCTAGTGAAGAAAGAAAATGCTATACCTCTAGCAACACATTATCGAAATTTAGCCAAGGCCAGCCTTTCCCACCTTAATAACAGCGGCGACCGGTACAATGATTCCCTTATTATTTGTAGCACCCAGAGCCATACCCGGCTTGTATCCCATCTTCTCGAGCATGATTCGGCCACGGTTATCTTCGCCGAGTTCTGCAGCCCCTGCACCGACAATGTCGCCCTCTCTGGGGCGAGCAGCGCCCTCCACTCCACCCCCTCCGCTACGAACACGTCCAGGACCACCACCACCACCACGCCCACCGCCCCTCTTCCCTCCTCCCCCTTTCCGTCCACCACCAATGTCAGGAGGGCCAATAAACCTTTCAGTTCCCATAATTTGAGCAACCCTGGCACTATCCTCCTCGTAGATGGCTGAATCGGAGGTTTTGATCAATGTTGGGAAACGGGTCTTGCCCGAACCAAACGACTTTGATTTTAGGTTGAATGCCATAGCAATATGGTGGACAGTCTTGCGGCTCTTCTTGTTCATAGGTGGAAGGGTTAGGCTATATGAGTGTTAATGTGGAATTAAAGGATAAGTTGGGGGTAACACGTACCATTGAACATCATTCTCCAAGAAGGTTTGAATTTTGTACTTCAATTCCTCCATCGTGATCCCTTCTGGGAATTTAATATTTGAACCATGTTTGCCGGCCTTCCGTGCCTTCCTGCCAAGCATCCCCTCTGCCCTGCGTGCCTCTCGTTCTTGCTTGCGTATCTTCTTCTTCTCACGGTCTTTTGCCCAACTTGCCTGCAGCTCCTCCTCTTGCTCGGAATCAGACAAATTGAGAGTGTGCTGCTTTCCTTTGCCTTTGCGTTTTGCAAGGCTAGGCCTGTCCCATTCCATAACGTCGAAGCCCTCATAAGCGTCTGCCATCCATGAGGCCGAGGGAAAATGGCCAGTGTTAGGGTCGGGCATAAAATCTTCTGGGTCAACATCATTACCCCCTCTGCGCCTCCGTGGATTTCTCCTCTTCCCTGTCTTACTGGCCCCCAAGGGAAAGAAGTCGGCATCGAGCTCCATTATTTCGGCATCAAACCTATCAAGATCAGAGCCACCCACAATGCCTAGCTCCTCTTTTCTCTGAAGCAATCTAGCAAGCTTAAGATCCTCATCACCCTCTTCGTCGTCACTGTCATCAGAGGATGGAAATCCTTCTGCAAGCTTTCTTTCTTCAAGGACAAGAAATTCCTTAACCTTGTGATCTAAACTCGAGTCTAGTTTTTCCGCTAATACCCACCTTGGGGTTTCTGTTTCATCGTCCTGCCATGTAACCATGTACTGTAAACCACTTGGCCGCTGCCTCTTCCCGAGGACTGCTTTGATAATACCGTGAGGCCCTTCGCTCGCTGTGTCGAGAAGATCTAAGTCTTGGAGATATTCCGGTTCCCATAGCTCTCTCTTGTATTCGTCAATGGCAGCCTCGTCTTCCGTCTCGTCATCTAAGTCTGTTGCGTCAAGCCAATTATTTTCATCAGCGAGATTTCTAATACGCATAGCATTAGAACCCTCGCCCGCTTCTTCGGCCGTCTCAGCGAGCAATTGCGCTAAAATATTTTCTTGGTAGTCTCTAAGAGCTTCATCGTCATTGTCCTTCTTCCCCCGACCCGCACCTTTCCGCTTTCTATTACCAGATATTGACCTCCCGGTCCACTTATCTTCTACTACGCACAATGCTTCCACGGGCCCTTCTATCTCATTCGACACTTCTTCAAGACACGGGGCAGACCTGTGAACGGAATCCACAATAACAATACTCGCCTTCACCCCAAGCTGAAGCCCGGCCGTTGGGTCTGCCTGGACAGTTGGCTCGCCCGTTGACGCTAGTTGCGTGGTCTCTGAGGCCTTAATGTGTGTCTCCTGCTCCTTCAACTGTTGTCCCCTCGTAGGGCCAGAAGTTACTCTAGTAGATGCCTTTGCAGTACCACCATCACGATTTCTGCGCGGAATAAAAACAATCTCCTCACTGGAGGTAGATAGAGTAGGCGATGCTGCACGGCGGGGAGATTCTTGTTTGGGCGATAGGCTAGGGTCCCTGACAAGATCGATCACAAATCCAGGGGTCCCTAAGGTCGTTCCAGTAGCCGAGTCTTGTTCGGTATGAGTACGTATCCCTGTATTGTTGAGACCCAATCCAGACATTCTAACTATTTGAGACAAATCTTCTTGAGACTTATCCATGTCCGCATGCGTGTCGGATGGCTCAGTATCTGGAGAAACAATCTTTTCTGCACCGCCGTCGAGAGCGTCTTCTTGCCGTATTTCCGGCCGGACCCCGCGATTTAATGGGTTCAACAAGTCTGCAAGGATCAAATTGCCTGTAGAGGATGGAACGAACTTGACAGCCGAATGGCGAAGCGCAGGGGTGCTCCCCCAATCACCCATGTGGCGGCCCGTATTTTGGGCCTCATCCGCGAGTGTATATGGGACACCTAAAAACACGTAAGTTATATTGACGGGTTAACTGTTGCGACAAGATGGTAATACCTTGAGAACCACGGAAACCATGAAAGCCACTATTACCATGGTCGAAGCCACCATTCTTCCACATAACTGCGGGTATATGGGAGGGTGGGTTGGCATAGCCATAATAGCTACCGCTTGGGAAGGCTTGATATTCGTTATCCAGAAAGGAGTATTCGTTGGACCCACTACCTTGATATCCGCCGCCCCAATAGCCAACCCGGTTGCCTCTAGGGATATGACTACCTGTGGGGATATAACCGCCTCTTCCACCCCTTCCACCTCTTCCGCGTCCTCTCCCGTTCCCCATGACTGCTCACAGTAGATGGGTGGGAGAAACACTCGATTGAACAATAAAACTTGAACTCAATGGAGGCCGATGCACGCGGTTGAACTGGGGGAGGAGAGAGGAGGAGCGACAAAGTCGGAGGTGCAGGATACCGTAGTCTAAGCAACTGATCAGTGCCAAGCCTTATTTATGGATAAGATCTTATTCCCAAAGAGAGAGACCTTGTGACCAGATTAGGAAAGAGCATCGACTAAAAGGTAATTGATCTAGTCTAAACAGATATTTAGGCCACCAGGTCAAGAATAGGTCCCGGCATCACCCATCAGACAGTGCCGGTATGATCCGAGTACCGTATCCGGCGTGCAGAGCTCGAGTGCCGTTCTCGTACAGTACGGTGCAGGCCATACCGTACCGGTACCAGCCTTACTCCCCGAGTGCAGATACCGGCATGATACTCAGTCCAGGGCTCAAGCACATCGCTTTCTCGAGTATGGATGGCTCTGGGTTTTGCCAAACGATAACACCATCTCATGGGTACGCTCTGTGCAAACAACTAGACTACCGGTGGTGCACTCGGCACGGTTTTGTGACACCCGCGCCGACGGGAGGATGCTTATACAGTATCACAGAAGCTTGTCACGAACTGCAGCAGGAGAAGGGAACAGTAATATCATACAGCATTCATTTCCACGATCCCCATAACCTAATCACCTGTGTTAATCATCCCTCCTGGTCTTGGTCTCGCGTGACGCCCACTGTATCACGCCGCAGATTGTCTTGCCGTACGAGTACTTGCACTGGAGTAGATATCATATGTGGCTTAGTGGGAAATGGTCCAAGTTACAGTGTGAATAAGGTGCAACAGGTGGCAGGTGGTAGGTCCACTCTACCGTACCGGTACTGTACGGTACTTGGCGATGAGCAACTTCGCCCCTCACTCTCCTCTACACCCCCTGTCGTACCTGCTCGAGTAGTTATCAGTCCCTCATCACGAAAATAGCCAGGCACAGAGCTCACCGGGGATATTAACCATCACCCGCCTCAAACCGCACCGCATCCCTTCCTACTCGAGGCTCACCTCGCATGCTGTACTGGGGAATGGACACACCCCAACCGCACCGCAAAGTCTACTGGTACAAGCACTGCCCGCATTCAGTAACAACTATCACAATTTACCTCACGCCCACCGCTCGGGTCGACTCACACTCTCTGCATCTTTCCCCTCGGTGATCATCCTCCAATCACAGACTCGTGCCGGGCTGTAAGAAAGTTTGTGCGCAATCTCCATACGTCAACTCAAAGCTCTTACTACTCCTCTGTCCTCACTCCTTCAGCTACGAACTGCAGCCGGTCACCCCCTCCACTTCACTCTCCTCCATTCCACCCACCCCCAAACAGCTCAACCCATCCCTTCGTGACGAATAGAATCGATCCCCCGTATATCCGCTCACCCATCTATTCTTCCACCTACCCTTGACACGGAAAAGAAAAAAGAAAAAAAAAGATTAAACCGTCCTCCGGAAAGGGCAATATTGAAAGGCAATATTTATCCCTCCTCTGGGGTGTTTTTTTAATTTTTTTTATTTAACCCTATCATGAGCCTCTCCAACTTTGATTTACAGCGATTGCTCCAAAAACTCCTCTGGGACCCTGAACCAAAGAATACAGATCCGATGAACTCTATATGGTGTTTGGGCCAAGAATACCCTAGCGCTGGGCTTCCCCCATCGTCACCTCCGCCTCCCCCTTCCACCGAGAACAGTATAACTGGGGGCCACGGCAGCTACAGGGAACCCGAGGGGGGTAACAAAGGTCAAGAGGAGGATGGGGACACGGGGTGGCCGAAAGCTTTCTTGGACGATTTCGAGTCGACTCTGTGGATGACGTATCGTAACAATTTCAAACCCATCCCCCGTGTGGCGGATTATAACGATAGGCTTACACTCCTGACGAGTATACGGAGCCACCTTGATAAAGCGGAGGGGTTTACAAGTGATTCTGGATGGGGTTGTATGATACGGTCCGGGCAAGCAGTGATTGCTAATGCCCTGGCTCGTTTACGTTTGGGCAGAGGTATGGGAAAACCCACTTGACTCCTACCCAAGGATCACAGAGCTTACGGTTGCTGCAGGATGGCGAAGGGGGATGAGACCCGAAGAGGAGAAACGGTTATTGGCTTTGTTTGCGGATGATCCGAGAGCTCCGTTCTCGATTCATAAATTCGTTCGGCATGGAGAAGTAGAATGCGGGAAGAATCCGGGGGAGTGGTTTGGCCCTAGTGCTGCCGCAATGTGCATCCAGTGAGTTACAAGCTTTTCCTAACACTCCCATCACAATGCTAATGACTCGTATACAGGGCTCTCACTCATGCGTACGATCCGGCCGGCCTGCGGGTTTACCAAACAAATTCAAATGATCTCTATGAGGAAGACTTCCGGAAGGTCGCTATTGTGAATGGAGTGTTCAAGCCGACACTGGTTCTTGCTGGCGTCCGATTAGGGATAGAAAGAATTACAAATATCTACTACGAACCATTAGCAGCATGCTTACGAATGCCACAGACCGTCGGAATCGCCGGGTATGTTTTTTCAAACATTCTCCATGCAGTAAAGCAAGCTAACTCATAATACAGTGGACGCCCTTCATCATCGCATTACTTCATTGCAGTCCAAGGGGAATACTTCTTCTACTTAGACCCTCACACCTGCAGACCAATCCTGTCCTTTAAAGAGAACCCGCAGGATTACACAGGGGAAGAGGTTGGCACATGCCATACGAGGCGCATTAGGAGACTACATATCCGAGAAATGGACCCGAGTATGTTAATAGCGTTCTTGATCAAGGATGAAGCGGACTGGAGGGATTGGCGAAGGCGAATTAGTAAAGTAGATATTCCCTTCCCTAGAACTACAGTTTCAACTCACAATTTGATAGCCGGAAAAGAAGGTCATTCATGTTAGCGATAGTGAGCCATCCGGAAGCTGGGCTCCCAGAGAGGCAGCTATCGATGAGGTGGAGGCCTTCGAAGACGATGATTTTTAAGACGTTTGTGTACCGATTCAGGCATGAAGGACCGAATAAATAGCATAACATTCCCGATATTTCGAGACCTACCGTATTAAGTTAGTTGGCGAAAGAGAAGGATTACGAACGGAGAATGGTGACCCTTTGCTTTTTTATTTTTTTTCATTTCTTTTCCCCCCTCTCTTCTATGCGTCTTCATTGTAGGGTGCGAGTAGACTCTGTGCTTTAATCTCTTTCTTTCTATTCATATTAGGTTTCGCTTTCTCATTTGGTCTTTGGCTTATACGGGTGGGGGTTGATTTAATTTCTTGGTGCCATTAAATGGTTGCAGTATGATACGGTATCATGCTGGTGTGGATGCCAGTCAGCTTACGATATCGTCTGGACTACCGCAGCGATGGAATTGTGCGGTTCAAGATACCAGGCCGGCGCAGTATGATAAAATGCATACCGGTATTAGTATATAACTTACGGCTAAGGTTGAATTTACTGAAGGAATCTTGATAGAAACCTAACAAATGTTTGCAATAAAGTGTCTTCTACTCGAATACAGGTATGATATAGCACTGTGTCCCTTACAACTCGCAGCATATCGCAACGATACGGTACGCCACCTTTCTATCCAGGAACGAACGTTTCCGAGCCGTAATTCGCCGAGTAACCCATATCATTACAGTGTGCGTATGTAATGGCCGTCAGGCTAGGGGGTCCACGATTGGTATCATAGGCACAGGATCGGGATACTAATGAGCGCGATACTATACGGACAGATTCTGCGAACAGGTTTTGGGTTATCATATTAACTTATCATACTCGTACGTGAAATGATAGATGAGTAGACTCGCCTTTGGATTAGGCTTGGAGGGGGGGGGAAGCTTTATCCCTTGAGGCTCTGAAGATTTCGGAACTTACCGATCTTGGCATTCCAGAATTATACGCGTTTCCTAGGATAGGGCATCACGACACCAGCTTTCCTCCTTTGATCTCTGCCCTTGAACCCTGGGAGCTTCAACCTCAACCCACGGTGACTAACCAACCTTGCCGTTTACGGCTCCCGCCTTTCCCTTCTCTCCCCCCCCCCCCTCCCCTAATCCACCAACACACCTCAAGCTATTTAAGCATCACCACCCCCACCCCCCACCACCACTAACATCATACGGATTCGACAGAACTAAAGAGCTACTACCGAAGGCGAACTACGACTCCCCATGGCGTCTACCCCCGCCACAAACGACGCGCCTCGGTCACCCAGAGGAGATCCTGAGGCCGATGCGGAAGGGGAATCAGATGATGGAATCGAATACAACGAAGATAATGACGAAAAAATCATTAGCGGAATCATTTCAGGGACAATTACCGCTGGTGATGACCCGCACGCCTTCGGCTTTGGCGACACGGTTGGGAAGCTCGACGATGCAATCGACTACGAAGATATCTCAGATGATGACCTCCCCTCTGAAGGCGAGCCAAGCGGCAACAACAATATCGGTGGCAACGAGGAAGTAGGAGAGGATGGCATTGCCGGGGATGAATTCGATGAGCTATTTAACGACATGGGCGATGAAGCACCCATCACCGGTGCTGATGCTTCAGGGGAGTTGGGAGGCCTTGAGGGTATGGACCTGGATTTCATGGCGCAGGAGGTGCTTATTGGTGCGCCGGAGATGGATATCGGTCAGACAGCCAATGAAGATATGACGGGCCTGGATATGGATCTTGGGGTGCCGGTAGAGGGGTCTCCCGGGGAGAAGCGAGCTACAACACAGGAGCTCGTTAAAAGATATTTTCCGGAACTCGATCTCAAAGCTAGGCTATCCTTCAATCATCTCTTTGGGCCAAAACCGCAGAGGCTAGCCATGGGTCCGCCCAAGCCGCCAAAAGTCATTGTGCCCACAAAGTTAGCTATAGTATTCGCACCGTCCGATGAAACAGCGTTTAACAAACCCTACACTGGAAGGAATATGGCCAAGAAAGCGGAAGAGAGACCGGGGATCATTATTGTGCCCCAAGAGCCGGAGGATAGTGAACAGAGTGACACCGAGGTCGGGGATCCTATAGATTGGAACTCGTCTCTCGAACGGAGTATAATGATGGCTTGCAATGATTGGGAAAGCAAGATGGATATGATCATGGGGCCTACTCCGCCACCCACTCCGCCGGGTGAAGCTCTAGAAGACGACGGCCAGGATGCAGAGGAAATCAATCGCAGGCCGCTAAAGGTTCGCTGTCTGATCGTTTCTAGTTCCCCCTTTTTCCGCAAGCTTACTGGTTCATTCATTCTTCTCTAGCGTGCGAGACTCGCGAGCTCTTTTCTCGACAGTCTGCCCGATTCGTGGCTTGCTGACAATGTCATTCTTGAGGGAAATCTGGCTGCCATTGCGAGCCATGTCACACTTGACCTTAACGATCCACACCTCTTGGTAGACATTCGCCAACCTAATGAGATAAGGCCAGCGAAACGTATCGGCGGCGAATTCAAGCGTCGTATTAATAAAGACTTAGCACAAAGATATAACATAAGCAACGACGAAGCTTATGACTTGCTGAAAGGAAATCTTCAAAATAAGGTTAGAAGTGCGATCGGCCAGTTGGATATCGAACACAGTATGCCCGCTCTGAGGTTACAGTCACCATACGTGAGTCCTCACTTGCCCCATTTGATATATATATATGTTGCGGTTCTCATTCGTATACAGTACAAAACCAAACTCTCCACTAAAGAGGCCCGCTCGTTCCACCGCCCTGGTTTGCATTTTAACGTCAACTATGAGATTCGTTTCTCCAAGATCAAACCGCGCAAGAAGAAGACATATCGTGGAAAAGATGTTCAGTCCGTCCTAAAAATAACTAAGGATTTATCTCTAATGGACGGCTGTAATTTCATTCTTCTGGAATACTCTGAGGAATACCCATTTGTAATGTCTAACTTCGGAATGGGGAGCAGGCTTATCAACTACTACCGGCGTAAGGGTCCTGATGATGAGTCTCGCCCAAAGTGCGAGATTGGTGAAACCCAGGTTCTCATGAGCCAGGACAGGTCTCCTTTCTGGAACTTTGGAACTGTCGATCCCGGAGAGACCGTGCCAACACTTTATAACAATATGGTTCGGGCGCCCATTTTCAAGCAGAATCCCAAACCTACTGATTTTCTTGTTATCCGCAATACACAAGCCAACCAGAGTCACTACTACCTGCGTAATATTCCGAATCTCTTTGTGGTTGGGCAATTGCTGCCAGTGACAGACGTTCCTGGCCCCCACTCTAGAAAGGTCACCACTGCGGCAAAGAATAGGCTTAAGATGGTTTGCTATCGTGTCGTCAAGCGCAAACCAGAAAAAGCTATCATTCTAAAGGATATCGCCGAACATTTTCCAGAGAATAACGAAATGCGTCAAAAGATGAAAGAGTTCATGAGTTACAATAAGCCTAAGGGGGTTTGGGAGATGAACGCCGGCGAGGTAGTTCCGGACGAATCGGTCATCAGGACAATGGTTAAGCCCGAGGATTTGTGTCTGCTGGAAGCTATGCAAGTCGGTGTTCGTCATCTCGCGGACTCTGGATATTCAAAGACGGTGGATGATGAAGTCGACGATGATGACAAGGAGGGCATGAGCTTGGAGCAACAGTTAACTCCTTGGGTTTCTACAAAGAACTTTATCAACGCTACGTCCGGGAAAGCTATGTTGCAGCTGCACGGTGAAGGGGATCCCAGTGGCCGTGGCGAGGCATTCTCGTTTGTGAAGACAAGCATGAAGGGTGGGTACAAGCCAGTTGGTGAAAGCGTCGAGGAAAAGATGGACAAACAGCGCCTCAAGGAGTTGGGCGGGCATGCATACAACGTCGCTCGCCAACAGCAGATGTATGAAGCTGCCATAGACCAGATCTGGAGAGCCCAGCATCGGAGCCTCAGTTCCCAGGTGGAGCCAGAGATGCCAGATGCCGAGTTTGAGGACGCACACAATGACCATCATGAGGACCTTCTGGAAGAAGGAAGGACCCCGAGGTCTGAGGCTGTTCCTCCAAGTCCATGGCTAAATAACGTTGATGTTGATGAGACCATGAGTCAGTTCTCCAGGTTTTCCGCGACCAACCGCCGGAATAAAGTTCTTAGGGTCCAGAGGAAGTTTAGGGGACCAAATGGTGGCGTTGAAACGAGATCTGAAATCATCCGGGACCCGAAGGTTATTCGCCAGTATCTCCAGAGGAGAAGAGAGCTTGACGCCGAGAAGACGCAGTATGTATGGCCTAACCGTATTCACGCTTTTGGGAGAATTAATGTTTGCTGCAGAGTCGAAAACTTAGTTCCGACTGGTAACGAAGACGAAGACCAGCAATCCCGCAAAAGGTGCTATATCTTCCATCCACCCATCCCTCCGAAGGCACAAAAGTATCAAGACTAACATCTCCCTGCAGACTGGTCCAAGAACTTAAGCGCTTGGAGCGCAATAAAGAGCGCCGTGAAGCGCGCGAGCGCGACAAGGGCAAGCGCGTCGGCAGTTTTGCTGGCGACGCCATGTCCCCCGAATCTGCCGCAACGCCCGGCTCCCCCATGCCCTCAGTCAGCATGCAGTCCGTTGTTACACCCACGACTGCTGGACCGCTCTTGTCTAACAGCAAGGTGGCTACCGTTAGGAAGTGCAAGAATTGCGGACAGGTAGGGCATATCAGGACTAACAAAAAGGTTTGTCCGAAGCTCAATGGACAGTGGGCGGAACTCGGCATGAGTCCGCCGGATGGTAATACTCCGGTGCCCGTGGGAACCCCGGGTTCCTAGAAGAGGACGTGGGGTGGGTGGGGACACTGGCCCTCATGATAGCTAAAATTCTTGCTTGCCTGTGGAAAAGGAGGTGGTATATCACTTACTACATACAGCTAGAATTACCATAGTTAAATTTGATAGCCTATCTTCTTTCCTCACCCCCTCTTTTATAGTTTCCCTCACTCCTCTTCTCCCCCGAGACTTCATCCCTATTTCTATTGCTAGGTTACTTGATCCAGTTTTGCCGTCCGGCTTTCTTCCTTCCTTACCTCCACCCTTTCTCGTCCCTCTCCATCATTACGGGAGTAGTGTATAAAGTTCCATTATTGGGAGTTTTTCTCTCTTTCTTTTTATTCCCTTCCCCTTTTTTTCTTCCTCGGGAAAGGAGAATTATCTCAACTTCGGCGTTGGTTCGTTTTGCTTTTCTTTGCTTGGGATTATTTTGTGTGGCGGTTTCTTCCTGTGTACACCGTCTGTGCATACCGACTAGTGGTTACTAAATAATGGCTTTCTTTCTCCTGATCGCTTTGGGCATTATATCTATTCACTTGCTTGCTTGCTTTGGGGGACTGTTTGTTCACCTATTTACCCATCCACTTATAGATTGCTGAAAAGAGAAAAGAAAAAACCGAGCCACGGCAGACCAACGTACCGCACCGGAACTGTGCTTCACTCGAGTACTATATTTTTTGTTTGGCCCACCGTAACTGTGTGAACTGGAGTGGGGTGTGTAGACGCCATGTAGTGGTGGCTGGTTCGTGAAGTGGAGTGAGATTGTATGATGATGATTATGGTCCCTACTATCTATTAAAAACTGTGGTTAAGATATTATGATACTGGCTATCGTACATGAAGTGTTTGTGGTTTGTGCTGTAGTGGACAAGCTCGATGAAAGGCGGCCAGTCTATTGTACAATTCTGGGGGGTTTTAATAAGGTACGCTCTCCAGAGATGGGGGGATAAGATGTGATGAGGAATTAAGGAAGGAGGAAAGGGATATGCGATCATGTAGGCTCACCCACCGCCCCTAGAGCCCGCCCAAAGGTTGCGTTCTTCTGCTGTGAATTCGGCTCACCATCAATGAGCATAACATCCTCTATTCCACCAACCTGATCCTCTGCTCCGGCGAGGCTGTTCGCCAGCGGTGGTGAGTTGTACCCATCTTCAACAGGCATCCATTCATCCCCCACAGACTCCCCTTCCTGCCCCCCCTCCCCTTCCCCGTCCTCACCCTCCTCACCCCCACCCTTAGCAACAGGCATCTTCCTCCTAGGAATAACCTCCAAAAACGCTCTCTCCCAATCCCTGCACCTCAACCAGCGGATCATAATTTCCACGACCTGGTTCGTCGTCAGGACAAACCTACTCGCCATGCTAACGTACTCCCCAATCGGCAACTTCGCTGTCGCGACCCCCTGTTCCACTGCCTTCTTGTAGCAGAGGCCCTTGTACCGATTCTTGTCAACGATAGCGCCGACAATATACTTCTTCCCGTTCTCGAGCTTAGTGATGGTGTTGGGTGAGTCGGCCGTTAGGTACACCAGGTCTGGGGCCACCTCGTACGGTTCTGAGGACACAATGACATTCTTCCAGCGAAGGTGCTGGTTCGAGAGGACGGTTTGGTAGCGCGTTAGGAGGCGCTTGTTTAGGCTTGCTAGGTGGAGGGTTACCTGGTGCGGGGATGTGCGGTTTATGCTATATGTGCGGGTCAGTTGGCTGGAGAGGGATTTTATCTCCTAGAGCGGGATCGTTCCATTAGTCTCTCAATTCTGTTTGATTCTCCGTCGCTAGATAGTTGTCTCCCTGCACGAGAGGCAGACCGAAGTAGAAGGGGATGAATACCTTATCGCTCATCAATTCATCAAACCCGCAATCCATAATCAAGGTGATAGGCTCTAACACCGGCCTCCTCCTGTTCATGGAGCAATTGTTTTTATTCCCATCACTACTCACACTATCCCCCTGCTTCCCCAATTCCTTCCCGTCTTCTCGCACTTTTTCAGCGGCAGCTCTGGCCTTCGCACGCTCCGCGGCCTTACGTGCTTTCTTCTTCTCGCGCTTGGCAGCTTTCCAGGCTTCGCGGGTCTCTTCCCAGCGCTTGGCTTTCAATTGGCGCTTGCGGGCGTTTTTGGAGAGCTTGGTGGCGCCTTGTGGGTCGGTAGCAGCGGCTGCTGTTGCTGATTCCGGAGCAGTGGTATCGGGGGAATCAGAAGGAGGGGGAGGTTCTGCGGAGATTTCCGCGTTGTCGGTGGGAATCGGGAGGTCGGTGGAGGAAGACATCTGGTATCTGATGTGGTTGGTTGTTTGTTTGACGGCGTGAGGGTCGCAGGTGACATTCGGGCAGCATAAAATTTATTATATTCAATTCACCGAGAAGATGGGTGGGTTAAAGTTACCCTCCTACCCAACCAACCCCACCAACGATCCCACCACGGCCACTTGATTACGGTACCGTCCCGAGTTAATTTACGACTTTATCATAGCGAGCGTTCAAAGCCCCACCCACCATCACATCATCAAATCAATCCAAGCTCCCATTCTATCACCAATGGTTCAAGGTACCCGCAATCTTCCCCCCCTCACGGTTCCCCGGTATCTAACAAAAACAAACGGACCTCCCGCCAACCGGTGGCTACGCCCCAATTCAATACAAACGCAATATCCCTGCCAGGGGCCTCCGTCCGGCGTATTACCTCGCCGGCGTCCTGGGAATCTGCACATTCGGATTTTACAAGTGGGCCCAGAGCTCTCGAGAGCTACAGTTGCTTCTCTCCCCTCCCTCCCCCTTCTCCCCAAATTGCACGATTAACGTATTACGGTAGTGAACTCGCCCGCGAGAAAGTCTGGGCAAGACTCCATTTAATCCCGTTACTCGAGGCGGAGAACGATCGCGATCTGGTCCGCAGACAGATTGCTGAAGCGGAGCGTGAAAGGGCACTTATGGGCGATGTTAAAGGGTGGAAGATGGGGAGCGTGTATAACTCGAATAGGGTCATTAAGCCCAGGTACGGGTACGGGCCTGATGAGGAGTTGCAGGAGAAGCCTGCTTAGGTGTATTACGAGCGATTAAGGGATAGCTTTACTTCTGTTGTACAAAATACCAGTTTGTTGAGGAAGAGGGGAGATAAAGAGGAAGAGGGATTGCGAAGACGGGTACATTATATTCTAGTGGATTTATCATTGTTTAGCAAGGAGGCAAGCATCGAGACGACAAAAAGAACCAAGACGATCGGATAGTAAGCGGAAGCATACTAAAACTAAAGCAGCGGTATAGTGTTTCCCGTAACGCGCAGCAACCCACTCATGTACTCGTACAAATCGCAACAGAAACGCAACAAGTGACAACGGAATAAGGACCCCCGATTCACCCTCAAGCCCTCAGACCCCAAATCACATAACGACGCAAGCCCTATAATTCCTTTTGCAGGTCTCAGCATACCCCTCATCGTCATAATCAGCGCTCATTCTCCCCGTTCCGGTGATTTTAATCCATTGTTCGCCTTCGGCGTGCCACCATCTTAGCACGCTCCTTTCGACGTCGTATTCCCATTTACCACCGCTGACAGTGACAGCTGTCCCGTCTTTGGGAAAGTGGAATGGTGGGACGAACATCTCTGTCGGTGTGGTTTCCTCCGTGCCCTTCCCAGCTACAAGCTTGAGGTCGAAGGTCGCGCTCGATAGCATGAAGCCGGACTCGACTATAGTGCCTGCTGTGTAGACTGGGGAAGGGCGGACAAATGCCTCTGCCGCACGAGAACCAGCTACAATGGCGTCAGGGGCAATCTTTTGCAGGTCTGTGCGAGTGGTTGACATTGTAGATGTGGTGAGAGCCCGTTTGAGGTTTGCAGCATCTATTACCGTAGTAGAGTCGTTTGCCGCTGCAGAACTATTTGGAGGTCGATCGTCCAGCGAGAATATACTGAGGTCTTCGCCATTCCATTGGTCACCCCATTCATGGGTGTTCTAGAAATATAATTAGTAGTCGTCTTATAGAGGCTAAAACAAGGCCAACTACCTCCACACAATACGTCCACAAGGTAAACCCGACCTGGGCTCCTTCCAGGGCATAGTGATTTGCGTCCAGCGCTCTAATTTGGGAGATGTAGTCCCCATTTTTATACGCATATTTATCGTCCATATCATAAGGAATTCCTATCTCGGTGAATACGCACGGAGTTAACCCCATATTGTCTACACCCTCCTGTTTCATGGCCTTCAATTGATCTCGAAAGCAATTACTTCAGGCACAAGTTAGTAACCTCAACCGTGAAAGGATGCGCTGATCTCACCGGATAGCAGTCTCCCCGACCTTCAGCGCAAAGGCTGGCGCTAGGTATCGTCCCCTGAGAACACCTAGAACGTCAATGTTCCAAAGCCGATTCCATTTTTTCGTCATGAGTGTGATCCCGTCATAAAAATGAGGTGCATAAACCATCCTATCATCGGCGTCGGGCGTATCCTTGATAGAGGGCGGTATCTCGAAAACCGGTGGCTGACAGAACATTATGGCATTCTTATGTACTGACCTTATGGCCGCAACGTACTTCCTGTAATGATCCAAAAAGTATGTTTCAGTGAACCTCTCAACGCTGAGAAGTTCTCCATTCGGCGTCTTGCCAAAATAATCATTCTTAAGAATCGTATCCGTTGCTGGATCCCAGACGCCATGCTGTGCCCAAATACACTCGCCCAACTTCCAACCGGGATCCCTCTTCCATCCATACCGGGAATCGTCACAGTCTGCCGGAAGCCACGCTTGCACTCCTTCCGGGTCAACAAGGGCACTCCCAGTCTTATAAGGTCCGGTTCCGCCAAAACCCCACGTGTCAATCTCGCACGCCCTTCCACTGCCGGTTAAAATCGCTTGCCACGCCGTAGGCGATGTGCCCTTTTGAAGCCTTTGCTCGGGTGGAATAACATCTAGCCTCTGATACCCAACCAATCCACGGTTGGGTTCGTTTAGCGACTCCCAGCCAATAACGGTTGTGTCCTCTAAATCGCCTGCTTCATGTATCTTCTTTGCAAGATAGGTGATAGCATTGATAAAATGCTCCTGGAGATAGTCCTGGATGTTCCTGCCGTCAATAATACATTTAGGAGCAAAGTCGCGGCCAGCGAAGAACATTGTAAAGATGGTTTGGCATGCCAATCGTTGATAATTCGTGGACCAAATCATCTTGGGAAAGGTGGCAGGGTCTGGCCAGGAATTGTGTACCAGAGCAGCCTCTGTTACATCAAAGGTTCGCGGATCCAGTCCCATGGCGTACAAGGTCCACATAGGGGCACCCGAGCCCCCAGAAAAGCGAGACCACTGAAAACAAAAGATGAGCACAGCTTCCGGTTGAAAGGAACGAGCAGGACATACCGCGTCCTGATGAGGATCCATAAATATCATGAAGTCATACTCTTTTGCCTTTCTGAGCATAGCAATTGTACTCTCGATCCATTCGTCATCGTAGATACCACTATGCCTATCAGCCCTTCCTTCCTTCCTCCCGTCTTACCCTTCGCCCAGGCGTAGGAAGACATACGGGCCTCGAGCTTCAATAGCCTCCCAAGTATAAATGTAGCGAATCACATTATAACCGCAATTCCGCAATCTCCGGAAGTGCACATCTGCATCCTCAAGGGCAAATGGGCGGCCGACAAAGCTAACGTTGTCGCCATCAAAAAAGTCTTCCAGTACGTGAGAGAGCAAGTTTGGCTTCGTCGGCATTTTGGCGTCCGAAGCAACATTAACCCCACGGAGAGTCACCTGGCGATTGTGCTCGTCGCGAAAGTAGGGACCGTCGATATTTAAAAAGGATGGCATTCTTGGAGCAGGCGAAGGTCTTTGTCAGAGGACCTGAGCGAAGTTGTCCAAGTTTTGCAGGTTAACCCGGTGCTATTATAAGGGGCGGAGGCTGGAGGTTAGGATTGAGGTCACAAGCTCGTGCGTAGGGTACGCTGGCTCCAGAAACCAACCTTGGAAATGGCAATATAGCACGAGACGAAGCGAAGGAAAAGTCGACGCCTTAATATTGGAGAGATTCCGTACTCGTATCACCATCAAAGCTTCGTGGGCTACGAGATATCTCTAAGTTATTTCGAATTCGAATTCGAATTCGAGTTCGTGTTCCGAGCTGAACCCGGAAAGTGTAAGCATAGGACGAGTGGATCCTCGTGTCTTAGCCAAGAAGGTGGTGAGGTTGGGGCTCAGCAGATCTCGATTTGCACTGGGCGTCTTTTGAGATCGCAGCCGGGTAACCTGTGGAAAAAATCCTTGGCATTTCATAATACTCGAGTACGAGCACATCTCGTACCATATTGTTATGATACCGCTAATACGATAGGTTGTTGCCACGGAACCACGGGTGATTTTCAGCTGAATCGACAAGAATAGCAGACCCGAATACCCAGGTAAACCCTTACGAGCACGAGCACGAATACGAGTATATATCACTAATACACTTCGTTGGGGACAGGGTATACGGTAGCACTCGAGTACACGAGTCGGGGGCACTGTACCGTAGAGGCTGGTTTTCCAGCTCCACAGCAGCCTGCTGTCCCGCCGACAATCAACCCTACCGGTACTGTGCTGTACTCGTGCCTCCAGCAAGATAAGATACCGGTACCCCGCGTAGACCTCGGCCAGTAGCCCACCCAAGTCCATGGCCAAAAAATCCAGCAGCTCTGCAAGTATGATACTGGTATGATATCACACGATACCTTAGATTTCGGTCAACAGGGGAAACAGAGGAACTACCGGTATCATATCGTGGTCGGAAGGCCACCACTATTGTTGGGGCCCGGGGCTTCCTTCCTGTGGTTATGGATACTTAGATCGGGTATCATACCTCAACTAATCTGGACCGACCCGTCATAACTTGGATTCATCATTCATGCGTATCGGGCACCGTGTCGATCCGGAAAGCTGCCGGACTGGTGTCTTGGAACTCTGGCTGCTGCCCAGGGCATTCTTAACGCATACGAGTGCGATATCATGATTCTATGTCGCCTTGAACTGTGGCCCGAGGCACGTGATTTGACAATGCCATTGCCGAGCCTCATTTGGACTATCATAGCCTCCGGGCCCGGGCTTCCGCTCTCACACAAGTGTTATCATAAATCCTTGAGCCGGACGTGAACTCTCTCCTGCGAACGAGTCGTCGTCTCCCGCTCTTATCAACCATGATGCCGTAACCGACCCATCAGAGCCATTGCATAGGAGTGTCCCATTCCCCTGCAAAAGGCGGGGGGGGCAAGGCTACTCTTTCGGGGGCTTTAGAGCGAGGAAATCATCAATCCGAGACGATGGGGAATACCGGTAGTTACTTAGGGAGGCGGTAGGAACGGGAGGTGAAATGGCCTTCCTCACGCTACCACAGAGTGGAGTCTATCTATCGTACGAGTACGAGTAGATACTCCGGCCCGCAATGGTCAGAGACCTCCAGCTGTGGTGGCTGGATGCGGGCGTCTTGGGATGATTTAAACTGTCGGTGTGTTGTTCCGGCCTTGGCCCCAATGCGCAGGATCAAGAGATGAAGGCAGCAATATCCTTTGCCACCAAAAAGGGGGCATACAGAAACAGTGCGTCTCCCACTCAACGACTCCCGAATCAAGCTCGATCGGGCGGGCCACGAACAAAAGGCCATGTTACATCTAACTGCCCCCAAGTAGTGTCCTCGTATATGCAAATGTATCGCTCTATCGACGAGGGAATCGGGTGGTGGGCTTATGGAGGAGCATTTGTCCGATGTACAGTATTATATCATGCTAGAACCGAAGGCGCGCATTGCTAGCTCAAACTGCAAACTAATCTTGTTGAAGGGTTAAAGGATGTTAGAGGCAATGCGTTGAGCTAGCACATCATATCTTATCTTATCATACCTGGGTGGGCTCTGTACAAGTATACTCGAATACTAGCTTACAGGGGCGGGCATTTTGGTGAGTGGACCTAGTATTCTAGATCGGGATTACCCGTAGACTCTCATACTATGATACCACAAATGAAGAGGTGTTTGGCGCATCAAGGTTTGTAAGGTACACCAAAACTGCGGTGTATAATGCAGTAAACTTCCACCCGTATGTTACAAACCATGTGCAGCCAAACACACCCTACCTTATAAACTGTGGTTAGTAAGGTAATATCATATGATATCATACCTTACAAACCTTGACGTGCCAAACACCCCATGAGACTCCGTAGAGAGCAAAGGCTTTTATCTAAACGACTGACACCATACCAAAGCGCATACGGTACCTTAGGTTTTTTTCAAGTTCTTGGTGACCGACTACCGTACCCTTCGTATGACAGCTTGCCCAGGCCCACGGCTCGTGTATCGTGGGTCCAACCGCAGACCGTAAAACAGTAAAAAGGTCAAAAAGACAAGTGATAATCCGTGATTTGTATTATGTAACCCTTTGGGTCATCTAGAGAGACCTGGACATCAGGACCGTGCCCACCTGCGCAACACGCTTGCCATCCGATTCCATCACCACCGCTGCCATCATCATACCGGTATTCTATCTACAATAATCCCCATCTTTCGAATTCCATCTCGGGATCGTATCAGAAAATAGCCATGGCCGACAAAGAGCTAAAGGTTCTCCATCAGGGACTTATTAGCACGGTCAACAAAGGCGACTACGCTTCCGCCTCGAAAGGCCTCTCGGGCCTCAAGATAGCTTTGCTCCAACGCAACGCTCTAATTCCATCCCCAACAACACCACCTGCAACTCTCCTGATCGCTCGCGATATTTTGGAGATCGGCGCGCTAACAAGCATACATCAAACCGACGACGCGGCGTTCAGTAGGTACTACTCGCAACTCCAACCCTTCTACGAGGACCCCCGACTATCCACCCCAAAAACTGCCAGCGCGAACCGCAGCAAGATTACCGGTCTCCATCTTCTTCTCCTATTAAGTCGTAATGACATCGCGGATTTCCACACCACACTGGAAAACTTGGAGGCTCCGGAGGATGATCCATTTATTAAGCATCCGATTATGTTGGAGAGATGGTTGATGGAGGGTAGCTATGATAAGGTTTGGAATGCGACCAAGAGTTCTCAGGTCCCGTCGGAGGAGTACGCACATTTCTCGCAGGTAGGGTTTATCTTGGTGGTGGATGGGGAGCGGATAGGGTGGATTGCTGATAGATGAAGGTGCTTGTTGGGACAATCCGCAACGAGATCGCGAGCTGTTGGGAGAAGGCTTATGCTTCGCTGCCGATATCCAATGCAAAGAATTTAATCTTCCTTGACTCTGAGGGAGCTGTTATCCAATTTGCAAACGAGGTAGGATTGTCGTTCACCCTTGACGATTATGAGCCGGAGCTAACAGCAGCTACAGAAGCGTTGGGAAGTTAAGGATGGACGGATTTACTTTCCCGTGGAAGAGACCGAGAAGGAGGCGCTTGCAAGTGGGACTATCATCGAGAACTCTATCGGATACGCTCATGAACTCGAAACGATTGTATAAACGGCATTTTTACCCTGGAGTTACGCTGTGTAATTTTATTCATAAACGCCATCAGGGAGGTGGTAAAAATGAGCATTTAGTTTGCACTGCGATACTTTCTATAGGGACCAGATACACAGTCGTTTGTCGTAAAAGCTGCACGAGGTAATTGTGTCCAGCCTCGCCTCATGCACGTGGCTCCCGTAATTCATGCTCTCGTGCTCCTCAAACTTTGCGACTATGCTCGGCTTACTCTCGTCTCGCACGGAGACGACTCTGGCCCCAGCATGCATACAACTCGCCAATACGGAGTCCTCACCGCGCATTTGGAGCCTCCAGACCCCACCCCCCAATTTAATATCACTTTTAACCCTCTTTGTCCTTGCATCGAAGATCCTTAACCACTCATCGTACGAACCCGTCAAGAATGTCCCGTCACCCCTATCCAGTACGGCCGTAACACCAGCCCGATGTGTCCTCCTATCCCTCCAGAGCTGCGTCCGAGTCTCCAAATCATACAAACATATTGCTGAATCATCCCCGCCAGAATACAATCCCTTCCCATCAGGTGTGAACTCACATGTCCATGCCTCGAGTTCGTGTGGCGAGTATTTGTAGGTGACTTTCCCAGATTCAAGAGAAAAGATGCCCACTTCACCACTAGATAAAGCGAAAGCTAGGTGCTGTGCTGTGGGGGAAAAGTTAACGGATAAGAGCAGAATGGATGCATCGAAGAGGACGTGATGAGCGGATAGGGTAATGGTGTCGTTAGAGGTGTTGTAGAATGATAGTGTTCCGTTGGATTGAGCGACAGCCAGAACTTCTGGTGAATGCGGCGAGAATTTGATGTCTAGGATTGCATGTGTTTGTTGAGATGCCACAAGGCTCCTGGGATATCTCTTAGTTAGAAGGAAGGTGAGGAGGAGGTGGAGTAAGTACTACAGTTGTCCGCCCTCATCCATTCGATAGAGCAACAAACTCCCAACCTTCTTCCCCTCAATTGACCCGGCATCCTCGTTGAGGAGATAGGTCCCAACAACAACGCACCTCTCATCCCGGGGAATAAAAAGCACACACGAAGGGGGCAGAGAGGTAAAGGTCGTGGATAGACTCTCGATCGTCGACATTAGGAAAGTTTCGATTGGCGGGGTGAGGCTTGGCGGGCGAGAGGGGAGAGAAGGGGAGTAGCCTTGAGGCTCAAGGATTAACTTAAGCGAACCAAAACCGGCAAATAACTCGCATCTACGAGTGACCGTATCGCATCCCAACCATTCGTCCGCCTCCTTTCCCGTTCCGTTCGTCAATCAATCATGAGTTTCGTAGCTCCCTTCACAAACGTATTCCGCTACACCGCGCCGCGCATAGCCATTCCCCGAGGCGTGGGAAAGCTGAGTGCGTTATCTTGGACTCTACTGCCCTGAACGTTGCTGACAAGCTCGGGGAAACTAGGGTGCGCTGGCTCGTTTTCCACTGGTTCCCGATGCTGGTCCGAGAAGGTTGCAATCGAGGGGGGTGAGACAGAGAGGCTTGCCGATGAGGTTGAGGGCGAGAGCGTGATTTGTTGGCAGGTATTACTCTTTTCAAAGCTCCCTTTTGGGGAACAACCGCAGCTTATGTTTTGCAGGATGGTGAAGACGTAGAGGACTTCTTAACTAGGTGCGCACCGTCAAAACTGCATGGCAGGTCCCGGTTAGCCATCAAGAATCCTTGGGACATTGAGCGCTCTGAAGGGAATGTCGATGCTGCTCTCACGGCGCTTGAGACGCCGCTTCAGGAGGCTATCAGCGACTGGAATGCCATCGTGGCTGACGATGCCCTGAATAAGGTGACATTTTACCCTTACTTTTCCGCTTGTCGGCCGACTAATCCGATACTTCCTGGCGGCAGTCGGCCAAATTTATCAGGAAAACCGAACATCGTGACAGGTTAAAGGAATTGATACTCACGACAGCGGCTCAAAACGAGGTTGTCAGCGGGAAGGCTCGTTCATATCTCCTGTTAATGGCTCAGAAGGCTTTCTAATGATTGGTTGGTAGTGGATCATATATGCGGGGTCAAATACAGTTGATTTTCAATGGTCTAGAGTTGCTACCGGGACTTACGACGGGTTGTTGGGCACCAAAGCAGAGGTCTCGGGAAATAATGGAATGGGGATGCATGTTATATTTGTCTACACCCCGGACTTTAGGGATCTGAAGGATGCAAAACGAGGTGAGCTTGCGGGCCTTGCTAGATAATTCAGCGCCTGTGACTGATGTGAAAAGTTCTTAACGGGCTCAAGAAATCCTTCCAATGGAAGCCTAGGTCTCTCGCGTATAAGCCATGTAAGAAGCTCCCTGAACGATCAATTTTAAGCTGCTAAGTCGGAGCCAGTGATATACTCTCTTCTAAAAATAACTGTTGAGAATCCCTACCACCTGAGGCCGGCGATAATCACTTCAAGGGAGCTTGAGGAGAGAGAGCTTGAACACGAGACGGAGCTTGAGGAATAGAGGCACAAAATAGTGGCGGTAGTAGAAATTCGCTGGGTGAATTGATCAATAGCTCAGGAGATGCTTGTGTGTACTTTAACGTTACTCTGAATTCAGTGGGACATCCACGAGCTTGAAGGCCTCGTCAGCTCTTGGGTTTGATATGTACTGAATGTGTGTGTTGAGTTCTTATTCGAGGGACATTTCCTCAACCATCCCATCTTCTTTCCTCACGTCACGCTCACACTGAATCATTTCCGCTCATTCCCGACACAGCCCTCATCCACTGATATGCCCCCAAAGAAAGAAAAGAAAGAGCAGGTCACTGGCGATCAAGGTCATCTTCCCCCTTCGCCGTGATCACCTCCGAGAAGAACCAGTCACCCGTTGTTACACTACTGACAGTAGACGTTGTGACAGCCAGCGGCCTCGTGCTCGAATATCTTCGTCAACAGAATCGGCCCTATTCTGCTATTGGTGAGTGATGTGCTAGCTAAGAGTTGCATTCACATAAAGAAGGCTCATCGTTTGTTTCTCCAGAAATCAGTGCAAACCTTCATAATGCTGTTACCAAATGTTTGTTTGCTGGCTTTTACCCCCTTAAAATGGGGCAAAGCAGACCTGTGCGTGTGAATACTCGGAGCTAATTCAATTAACAGCTGTTGCTACCAAGATTCTCAAGGATCTGGATGAGAGGGGTGAGATTGAGGGGAGAGCTTCAGGGAAGCAAGTTGTCTATCATATCATCCAGGTTGGCCCACTGGTCCCGAACCTGGGAATCATTGGCGATCTAACAATTATCGGCTTTAAGGATCCGAAGGACCTTGCAAGCCCCGAAGAGCTCAGGGCCATGGCTACGGAAACCGAGGGTGTGAAATATTTAATTTTCCTTGTTTTGGGGCATCCTGGTTGGCTAACTTAATGTGCGAGCCACGCCAGCTGTCAAACAAGAGATTGGAGGATTGAAGGCTGAACTTAGAGCACTCCAGTCTACCCTGAATACTCTTAAGGCTGCCCCGACTACTACTTCACTACTTGAGACTATTGCCTTGCTTGAGGCCGAAATCCAAAACTTTCAAGTCCGGTTGGAACCGCTTCGCTCGAGCGCTGTTAGACCAGTTTCGGCGGAGGAGAAGGCTACTATTTCCAACGAACACACCAGGCTTCAGAAGATACTTAAAGGGAGGAAGAATCAGTTCAAGGGGTTCTGGGACGCCATCTGTGATGGCTGCGTCGATATCAATCCTAGTGACCTATGGGTAAGTGGTCACGCTGCCCCTCCCGTCTGTTTTTTTTTTTTTTTTTTTTTGGGGGGGGGGGGGACTTTTTATCCCTCTTGTCGAATTTGTTCTTCTCTACCTCTGAATGCCGTAAAAATCATATCCATCTGGTCTCCCTCTTTTTGATATTTTTCGGACCTGTCGATATTGTTCCGAGCTGCAGACAGGAAGTGGCTCTGTGTGAATCATTGGTCTGCAGTTTACGGGGCCATGTATGCTATGAGTTCGTTTCTTTTTTTGCAGTTCGATCATCTGGTAGCATGTTCTACCTTCCCCAGACATGTTATGTTCGCCCCACTCAATTGGGAACTTGAAGATTCAGTTTGAACTTGGGACGATTCTTTCCCTGTCGCACGGCTGTGATCTTTTGCGAGAGCACTCGAGTACCGGTACAGTACGAGTACCTGCGCGCATGCACATGCAGAAACTGATCCTGGTATTTTTTTACTAAAAGGAACGCTTGGGGTTGGAAGAGGATCCTTGAAGGGGCTGTAGAGAACGCCATGAACAAAATGGGGGAGGCTTAAACTGACTGTGGAAAGGTTCGGTTCGGTTCGTACAGGTATCATGTTATGGTGGGTAACATTCTTAGAAGGTCCTTGTGGGAATCTTACTTCCCCAACGGATACTGGCGCCATGGCGAGGATGGTACGGGCAAATTAGATGTCTTTAGAGAAAAAACGAAAAGAATAAAAAAGTGGTAGCCTTGGCTATGGTGCCGTACTCCTGCAAGCAGGTGTGAAGGGATTCAAAAGAGGTGCCTTTTGTGATACTCGACTAAGTTACAGGGTGGAAGCATCCGAAACATGGGGAAGCGGTGGTTGCGGAGGTTGGTGGTGGTACAAATCCCAGAGGGTTGCATCAGTGATTATGAGGAGTACATTTGCTTTTTCTCTTTGCTACATGGTAAGTTAGCGATGTTCCATTATCAAGCCCCATTTATGTCCGCTCCCGCACATGGAACACTGATTGCAGAGGGGTCAGCTGAACACGAGGTGCGAGGATATATCCGCGTAACTGCGGCCGCGAAGAGGGGGACTTTGGATGACAAGGAGTATTTAGAGTAGAAAGCCGGGGGATCAAAAAAAGTGAGTTGGTATCATAGCAATGAAGTACCCGTAGTAAACTCGAAATATCGTATTGCGTTTTGTGGAAAAATACCTTTTCTTTACAATAGAGCATTAGAGTCCGGGGATGGTGGTAATGGCCAACCTTTTCTGGCGATAACATACCGTAATGGGGCTGTGGGTTTCGGACTACCAGATATAGAACTGCCGTCTTCTCCATCAGGTATTATCTCCATAACTGGAGCTCATTGTTTTAGCAAGTTGGCACGGCGATCCATACAACTAATAATATTTGGATTCCATATTATGACAGTTAGGTGTGGGACACTGCGGGTTCGGATTCATTCCCACTGTATTCGAACCCTTACCAACCTCACCAGGGCACATGGGTAAAGAAGCATATTCTTCATCATGATACGAAGAGCGTATGATTAAGAAAGGGAAGTTTCGCCGGACTTTCTAACCTCGCAGTACGATTGGAAGAAAGGCGTAACACGTCCAACACCCCCAATGATAGATAATCATCTGGTGCGCTTTTCGTAACATTTGGGTGAGGGGTGGGTGGGAAGTGGGAGGGGGCTTGGTTAGTAGGCAGACCAATTCTGCTACATGCATGGTCATTTCGACCTTTTGACGGAATGGTCATCTGTATGATTCCGATGTGCGGTGTGTATTTTGTGAAGAGAAAAAAAAAGATGAGAAATAAAATATAGTGGAAGTGGGATGAGATGAAGTTCGGACGAAAACTGTGTTCCACGCTCAGATGGTTTGTTCCGAAGATTCCAGCCCTAAGATGACGGTATGGAACTTTCTGCCGACCCATCAGGTTTCTTTGTTTCATTCTCTTCCTGCTTGCCCCCCGCCCCCCATTTCTCTCTAAGGCTCCATCCATAGCGCTACTGCACTATGAGGGTCCTTCTTATATCGTGAGCTTGTGATGTTTGGCATCCTTGCTACACGGGCATTTTGGGAGAACTTGGCGGGTCGCGTATCTGTGAGTTTTGTTGGACTCAGGTGATGATGGGCTTATAGTTTGCTGAGCTAGAAAGCTATGCTTCCGTGACGGGCCTATCTTATGATGCCGAGGATCTAAGGAAGAAGCATCTGGCGTTTGGCGTGTTTTGGTATTGATCGTCATCGTGGAGTTGGACGTCCCCGCTGGTCCCCTTGCCAGAGAAGCAGAAGGCTTATGGCACTGTTTGCTTTTCTGGATGGGGTATGATGCTCAAGTGAGCCGACCTCTCGGTCCGACCTATTGGAGTGTCAGCCGACGAAATGAACTGCAGTATCCTTCTTGATAGTTTGATTATAATTATCCTACTGGTGGTTTGATCCCGGGATGGATGTTTGGCGAACCTCTTTTTTTCTCTTCTCTTCTCCTCTTCCTTTCCTTCCCATTCTCAATCTCTCCTCGCCAATATCGATTATACCATCCCCCCCTTTCTGACGAGTTCAACTAAGCCACCGCCGGAGGGAGACGCCTTGCAAAAGCCATCCGGTGTTCATAAGGTACCGGTATTTGTGAGTGTGTCTGAGACCTATTATCTCCTAAGTTAGTCCTCTTGGTCATCTGTACAATAAAACCTCGCTCTACCACCTACCAGCCCTCTCTTTGAGCTCTCTCTCTTTCTCGATCCTTCTGTCATTCCGTATAATACTTTTATCGGGGTTTTGTACCCCCATCTTTTTTTTATCCCATAATTTTTATTATTTTCTGGGCCCCCCCTCATTTGGAGCCTTCCCATCGCATACAACCGTCCATCCAACCTGCCCTCGCCCCACCGACTCGTTGGGGAATTTGGCCAGGAAACAGTTTGGAAGAGCGTTTCTTTGAGTTTTTTTTTTTCGGTTTGGTTGAGTTGGAGGGTTTAGAGTTGTCACGATCCATACGGTAAGATTTCAAGATTGGATTGGATTGGTTGGTGGTTTCTTACATTACGGGTTTCCCGAGGGGCTGCGCTGTTCCTATTCTGGGTTTCACCCCTCATCGGATTTCCCCCTCCTCAAGAGTTCAGGCTTGGATAGGCCCCTGCCCCACCAACCCTCTGAGCCCTACAGAAAAGACAATTGACTGGTTGTCCATTCGTCTGCTTGTCAATATTCGATTCTGTTCCTGAACACACCCTGAGCCCTTCTTACTCGTCCATCGGCTCGCCTTGGTGTTCTCTGTGCTTCCAGCCAACTGACAAATAAGGAAGAGAAGGGGAGGAAAAAAAAAAAGAAAACTCCTCTCTTTTCTCTCCACCTTTTTTCGTGACGCCAAAACCTTAAACCCACCACCTGGAGGTCAAATACGGAAAGATAGAATACTCAGTAACAGGGAGAAATTTTTTGACCCGTCGTCGAGGGTTGTTGTAACCCCCCTCCTCTGTCGAACAGAACACCTCGCAGCCGGGAACCGCACCGCCGATTTGATCCAATCGTATCCCAATGGCTGAGACTCCCTTCGTCCCCCAGGAGCAGCAACCTCAACCCCAACAACAACCTCTTCTCCCACATCCGCAACCGATGAGTACCCCTCCAGAACAACCCAACATGTACAATTCCGGTAGCAGCAATCTGTCCGGATCCAATTCCCAGGGTCACTCTCGTCCTGGTAGTGGTCGGAGAAGTATCTCGGCCTCGCAGCCTCTCTCTGGACAACTACCTCCGACTCAAAATGGCAATGCCGTGACAGGCGCTGCACCTACACCGGTCCTGCAGTCGCACGCCCAGCCTCCTGGTATCCCAATAGGCCCTAATGCCCCGACTTTTGACGCTTCAAAAAGCCCCCCTAGCAGCAAGAGTACTGTTCCTGAGTGTTGTTGGTCGTTGCAGTAAAATCTCATCATGGCTGATCTTGTGAAATAGACTTGAACCACGTGCCCTGCAAATTTTTCAGGCAGGGGACCTGCCAGGCCGGAAAAGCTTGTCCGTTTTCCCATAGTATGGATCCAACGTCAGATCAAGCGCCCTGCAAATATTTTTCAAAGGTGCCTTTGGGGATTTTTCCTGCTACGAGAGGGTCACTAATTGGTTACAATAGGGTAACTGCAAGTTTGGAGTCAAATGTGCACTCGCTCATATCCTTCCAGACGGCCGTCGCATAAATCGCCCAACGTACAACAATAACAGTCATAGCGGCCATCTCCAGTTCGGACGCATGGACACTGGTCACACGAACCGCGGGTCCGCACTACATAACTCTTTGCTCCAGGCTAAAATGTTGCCTAATCATTCATTTGGCGGTCAAGACGACTTCCCCGGTCTTACCAGTCACCCTGCTGGCCCTGACCCCAATATCGCTACCTCAATGTTGGATTCTAGATATGGATCTCCGCGAGATGATGGCACTTTACCGATGTCACCCCTTGCCTCGTCCCAACGAACTCTTGGACCTCTGGATGCAACACTTCCAGCTTCCTTTGACAGGCATGAGTATTCAAAGTTCGCGAAATTTGGCCCTTATGCGTCCTCTGTCCCGAGCAAGTTTGGTTTGGACTCTCCTCCGCCATCATTGCCTAGTAATACACGCCCGACAGCGCTTCAGTCTCTCTTCGAGTCTGCTTATGGAGGGGGAGGAGGAAACGGAGAGGAGGATGGCAATTTGGGTGCAGATTTGTCTCATTCCCCTCGCGCTAATGCAGAGGATTTGCCGGGTCCTAGAATAATGCATTCCTCACTCTCTGCTAGACGCACGAAACTTTTATCGTCGAGCTACGCCAGACCGGAAAATATGGAGAGAATGTTGGGTGAATTTACCCGTGAGCGGTTTCCGACAGATCCAAGCCTTGATTATAGCTTTTCATTTGAGGAGGATTTTGTTCCGAGCAGCCTTCAGGACCTTCTTACCCCGGCTGAACGCAGTAGGAGGCTTTCTAGGACAGACGAGGAGGGTGCTTCCAACTTCCAACATAGCTTCACGGCTCCTGGCACACCCGGGGGCCCTGTGGACGCCATTGGATCTCCGCCTGTCGGTTCCCCCGGGGGTGCATCTAGATGGGGGCCTATTGTAGTGAGAAATAAACGTGATGAGGATCATGCTCCGGCGCCCGGCGTCGGGCATGTTGGCTCTCCTCTTAGAAACTCCTATCAGCAAGGAGGAGAGCCAAGCCCTACCTTCCGCCCGCTCGGCAGACCAATTTCCGGTGATGTGTCTCCATTCCCTGGATCTCCAAACCGCACAAGCTCTGCCGGTATTTCGGCACTCACCCAAACACTTCAGCGTGCCCGCCTCTCCTCTAGAAACGACCCCCACGGCTCAGGAGAAGTGCCGACCCTACCGAAAGCTCTCGGCTCCAACGGGAAGCAACTGGAGCGTGTAATTTCTAACTCTCAATCCAACAACGGCAAAACTGTTGCTTCCATTGACGAGGAGTCTGACACTCAATTCCCAATGGAAGAAGAGGAATACTCGACCTCGCCTCGTTTAACCATTAACTTCGGCAGCCTTGGCGCCATTGGGCGTGGGTCCGGTTTGGGTCTCGACGTCAGTGAGCAGCAATGGGAAAGCTTTGGCACGGGTGGCGCAAAAAAGTTTCATTGAACTGACATGATATAGGTTTGGTGTCTACGAACATTTTCTATTTTTTGTTTCTTTCCTTTTTTTTTTTTATGGATATCTTTCTCACCCCAAAAACAAAAAGTAACATTGATTTTTATTTTTTTATTTTTACATCGTTTGTTTTATTTTCTCTTCCTCCTCCGTTCCGTTCCCCCCTTGCGAGACAAAATTCGAATACCCTAGCATATTTTCCGAAATCCTGGTAAAATGATATTTTTCGTGACTGGGGATTATGGTGTCTATTTCAATAAAGTTGTTTTTTGCGTGGGAGATTAAGGCCTTTTTATTATTATTTATTTCTCTCTTTTCCTATTACAGAAAAAATCGGGGCATTTAAAATCTTGTGTTTTTCTTCTGGAAATGGTTGGAGTTATTGCTTGTTTGAATTTTTGTTTTCTCTATTTCAGCCTGGAAACATGTAAATCAGTCTCTTTTGTGCTGATACAATGAGTGCTACCTACACGATGGATGGTTTAGTGGGGTGGAAGGTAGTGTACTGTGCATGCAGGATAGAGAAAAGGGTGGGGAATATAAGGGTATGGGATGGAAAAGCGGAAGCAAAGGGAATGGATGGCTGATGGGGGAAAGGTTCCACTTTTCACATCTAACGATATTTGTTTCCTCTTTGTTCACTTTCTATACCCTGTCTTCGCCGGTTGGCTAATGCAGGGGTTAGAAAGTATTTCCTTTTCTTGGAGTGCCTTACCATGTTCTATACAGGGCATCGAGCGATGGATTGCGGTACAGTGCTACACTTTATCGTGTGGCAGTGTACTTCTATTGGCATTTTAAGCGTAGAAGATTGATGTTTATAACATTCGAAACGCGAAACAGAGCGGGAAAAAAAAGAGAGCATGTACCCAGGAGAGTGACCGAAACAATCTAGGAATGTCGGAGGGTATGAAGGGGGAGGGATCTCTTTTTTTTTCTTCTTTTTTTTCCTTGCCTGTCCTTTTTCTAAGTTGTGATCGGGAGAGGGTGAGTGAAAGAGGAACCAAATTATTAGTACCCGCCCGAGTGATACCGCATGAATACCAATCACGACAGGTTAATCCATCAGGAGCCTCCTCAACCGGAATCCCAAAACCGGCGGAACCTGCGAGTAATTCTGCCAACTAAGCTCCTTCCCGCATTTCGTCCTCTCCCTGGAAAAGGCTGGCTCTAGCAAGCCGTCCATGACGAGCCCGTTCTTGAAAAAGACGCTCAGGATCTCGTGCAGTGGGCGGTGGAAGTAGTACTATTATCAAAAAAGATGAAAATAAATAAATATTATTATTATGTCACTCATTACCTTCTATGGGAGAGGAGAGCGGGGGGAGGATTACTTGAGTTTTTGGTTGACCGGTAATGGCTTCACCTTTTGTGGGCGGAATGGAGAGGTATCTGTTCACATTTATACTATAGAGGGATCCAACACGCCCGGTTGTGGGGTCCTCAGATACCGAGATGTGCCTGTGCGTTCCGGAGGAGTTGAAAGCTGGGTGCATTATTGTTACTACGAAGCTGCGGGTTTGTACCGGAGGGTTAGTGCATGAACCAGGTTGGTAGGGGGGAGGGGAGGAATACCGGCCGTTGCGCTTGAGTAGTCGCGGGAGCGCATTTGCGAGGGGTTCTAGTGTTGATATGTCCTATTGTTCGAGGACTCAATTACAGCTCTCAGCGCGGGGGGTGCAAGACTATACCATCAAGGCCATATTACCTGCTCCCCTCGCGAACGCCAATTAGCCCCCTCCACTCTACTCCCATCCCCTCCCCTCCCCGTGTCAGTGGATAAGACATACAAATAACCCCATCAAACCCCAAATGCCTCCCCGCCAACGCCACAAGCCCATCCAACTCCCTCTCGCTCGTGACATCCAACTTCATATACCACACCTTACGCCCGACCTCCACCCCCGTCCTCTCCCTCGCGATCTCGACCATATTCTCCGAAAAGTCTGTCGCCAGCACCCGACTCCCCAGCTCGGCCAACTTCCTCGCGAATATCCCGTTCCCGCACGCGAGTTCCAGCAGATTCTCGTCTGGGAGTGGGGACAGCAAGGAGAGCGCGGTGGGCGAGACCAAGTGTTTGTAGAAGGAGTTGCCGGCCGTGCCTATGGCTGCGTCCCAAGTTTTGGCATTTGCGTCCCAGATATCTTGGTGGAGGTGCTGAGCTGGGTGCGGGTGGGGCTGCTGTTGGGTGTCTGCTGGGGGAGGGGGTGGGAGGGCCGGGGAGGGGGGGAACCAGAGGGTGGATTTCTTCTGTGGACATCGTGCGGGTTGGGGAGCGTGTGGAGGTTGGTTCCGGATAAGTTTGATAGGTGGGTAGGTGGGAAAGTAGGATATCTGGTTGGTTATATATCCTGTCCTATCCTCTCCCAACCGCAATGCGAAACTAGGCGAGCTTACCCTAGAGCAATTACTCACTCTCATTCCTCGTATCGTATCACATAGGCCAACCCCATGTAGCTTACCCGGTCATCTTGTGCGTAGAATAACACCTAGATCACCAAGCTTCCTAAGATTCGGCAACCTCGGAAACCTATTCCGTTTCAGCGATTTCATGCCTCAATGTTCCCCTAGGCAACCCACCGCAGGGGTTTACGGAAGTCGGAAAGTTCCGGACGAGTGAGGAGTCATGTTTTGGGGTCTTGGCGCGGCTGTGTGGGAGTTTCATTGATGCGGATAAGATTAAAAGTTGCCCTACGGTATGAGTTGATTGGATACGAGGTTCCTCGGGTTAGGTGGTGCGAGTCATGATGGGAGGGGGTTCCTTGACCGAATCGAGGAATGGATATAGATGCGAGAGAGGGGTTAGGGGTGGTGGGTGCGATTGTGGGTCTTAGAAAACTTGGGGGTGGGGGAGGGGTTGGTGCGGTTTGCGTGTAGATTCGTTGAAGGAGGAGTGAAGAAAGAGATAGAGGTCAAAAGGGGATAAAAATACATGTTTTTAGAGGGGTGAAGTATAATCACGGCTTAAGAATGAGTTGGTGCGCAGGCCTTTAGGCTTTCCTCTCCTGCTGCGCAATCTCTTAACGTCAACTGAAGCCGTCATCGTGTATCACTCGCTAGGGTGGTTGAGCTTTCCGGTGACATCACGACGGTAGTATTTTGGGATTCGGAGACAGGCATCTTGGGCTCAGCAGAATTGGAAAGGGATGTAGTGAGTAATTGCTTGATTGGGGTTTATCTGTGCTTTGCATCGGATACTCACAATAGCGTAGCCCTAGGTTGACTGCTAACTGGACAACAAAAAGCTCAACATTTAGCAATTGCAATGAGTCCGCCCCAGGGGAGGGGATACACATCTTGTCTACGCCCTCCGTGCGTGCGAATGGCGCCTATATTTAGGGATACTCCCAGTTCTCCATCCTCCATTTATCCGGTGCATAATGCATCACAAAGCTAACCATCTAGACTTCGTCCAAACTCCTGCCAAATAACACTTTGTGAAAGCCCTTCAAAACAAGCATGCAAACCTGATGCTGGGACGGCCAGGGCAGAATCAATACGTGTGTGAAGCCCGCCGACTGAAAATCGCTCGCGATGCGTATGTCTTCGTTAGCGTATGCCTCACTGGCGTTATCTGCGTTAAGCAAGCGGGAAAATAGGCACTCTATGCGCTCGAGATATTCGTGGAGGATATCGCTCGGATAGAGAGCTTGTTCCGTTTGTAGTTCTCACTGAGGATCACTAAACCACTGTCCGCGGGGTCTTGGGGGTCAGAAATCCCGTGATGGGCATAGTGCGATGTTGCTTTTCGGCAGGGCTAAGAGGACCTGTTGGGTGCTGGGTCAGCCAGTGTGCGTTGCTTTGGAGCCCTTTGCGGCTGCTACCTGATTCCCTTGGCTTCGTCGTGAACTTTGAGCATCTTGATAGCGTCACGTGTGGATCCTGGCGCATGGTGCTTGGCTACAAGTACACAGAAAGGTGCCTGGTTCATGGGCCTTCTATCTTCCGTAATTGTAGCATTTTGGTGCAGTCACTCCAGTGATTGGAGCGTAGCCTAGGTGATTTAAAGCTAGCTCGGCAGCTGCTTACATAGCCAATTGAGGAACTAGGTGAGGAGAGGCTTCTTTTGGCGTTTGTGCGCGTCCTCCCTCTTGTGAGCTTTCGTGACACCAGTTTTGGCCTTATTGGATTCCAAGCCGCACAACTCTAAAACCGTAGCACCCGGTGCCGTGGCCACAGTATGAGCGAGTCGCAGCGTACGCTGTTGGTGTTGAAGACGACAATCGGTCCGCTCTTAGCCATCTCCAGAAAGGCTTGCTTAGAAGGAGGGGGTTGGAATTCCTCACGGCCAAGCGATCTCCGTATCCCCACTAGCAACCCTTCCATTCCAGCTACCGCCTGTCCTCGGCCTTCGAGGATTGTGCGGTCCCATTCGTGTGGGCCTTTCCCGAATCAATCAACTATTCCTGTTGATGGAGTTACTGGAGTATTCGTTGTAAGCTAAAGGCATTGTATATCCCAGGGCTCGTAGTCCTGAGGGTGGATAGTTCGCTGCTACGATCGATGCTGAAACCTGTCACGGCCGAGCTCCAGGAGTTTGAGAGGATAGCACCCGGGCCCTCCGGTCTTGGGCACAAGAGCGGTAGTGGCCATCTAGACTGGCTGGTGCCGTTGATTCCTTCGGTCCACCCACCCCAGCCCCAATGGCAGGACTCGAACTTCCTGTCCAAGGATAAAGGTTTATCGCATCTGCATTGCACGTGACTCATAAATTAAGTCCGCAAAAAGCATTCCCCAGGATCCGCACTGGTTATTACCCCCCGGCCCTCTGGAGGCGCTACCTATCCGAAGTAGTGACTCGGACTGTGACTGTAATTGTGATATCATGGGTCCGCTCTTAATTTAACGGATAATCGTTCGGTATATGCACCAACACTCGACCTGGTACTAGTAGATCGGGGGTTCGTCCCACACCACTTCGATCCCTTGTAGTACTGTACTCGAGTAGGTTGTCCCAGACGCAGTCGTTCAGGTGGAACGGCCAAGAACAGCGGTCCCTCGGCACGGTCCTCCGGTGACATCCCGAGTCCCGCTTCGGCCTGTTCAACGAACTCCTAGAAACATTTTAGATCTCCACCAGCTCCATAGCAAGGATCTAATGCATTAATCGAGTTAATAAATAGCCTCGCCCCCTTATACTACCCGCGGCTAGGCACCGACACCTTGCTCAGCACAGCATCTCAGGGACCTTTGGACCGCAGTGCAATGTGGTCCGGATGAGCGACAAATTGCTTCGTACGGGCCAAGACACTGTGACTCCAATCCAGTCCTCCCCAATTGGGTGGCCTCATCAAGGTTGGTGAGGACGCCTACATGTCCGCACTCGAGCTTATGCAATGGCAAACCGTCCATGGACGATCGGCACCCGGAGATGCCAATTTCCAGTCGCACTGAGCCCCGCAATAGCTGGATAGGCTTCCGAGGATCCCCTCTTGTCACTGTCCCCTGGGGTCCCGACCCAAGCCCCTCTTCCCCACTCTTGTTATCTCTACCGAGGGCACCTGCATCCCTGGTTGGTCAAACTTCTCTTTCGCGATGCTAACAATACCGGCGATAATACCCCTGTGGTGTGCAGAATCCAAACCGACATTCACCGGGAACGCTCACCCAGCCGCTGACATAGCCCGGACAAGGCCGGGGAGGCCTCCAGTAGCATGGCAACAGTGTAATTTACTAGTGCAAGGTGAAAAAGCATAATGTTGCCAACCCCGCGCAGCGGTGATCCGGCGAGTCTTGCGGAAGTCCCACTTCTCCGGCCAATGACATTACCGTCCAAAACCACGAGGATGTCCTTCCACTTAGTAGAGATGGCGACTTCTGCAGAACCTCGAAAGTGAATAGCCGGCGGCGGCCATTTTTGGCCGGAACCGCTAACAAGGAGGGCTCCCTCATAATATCGCCTGGCGAAGGCCTCCGAGGCTTCCCTGAGCATCGTTCTACTGAAGTAACTGCTTATGAGTTCTGAACCTGAGGCTACAGGCGCCATGTCCTGACAGATCCTTCCGCAAAGTTCCCGGTACCGCTAATTCCAGTTTCCTACTTCAACTTGTTAGTACGAGTATATGGATGAAATCGCTGAGGGGCCTCTTTCGCATCTCGCTCGTGCCCTAGACGCAAAAATGCTCGCGAGGAAAATCCATACCGGCCTCGATTGCTGGGGAGGTCGGTTCTGTTATTGTCCTGGGAAGGAAATGGACTGAGTAGAGTACTGTATCACCTCGAGATGCCGATCCGTTTCGAAGGAAAGAAAAGAAGGCTAAGACGTGTGCTTCTAGAGTTAGCTCATTGCCTTCCGATACCCGTGCTCAAGCCAAGTTATGACGCAGCGGGCCATGTTCGTTGATCAGTACCATAACTTGGATTACCTGCATTCGCTGTACCACTCTATGGGATCGCTTGTATTCTACTCGACGTCATACTCGAGCGCCGTACCCGTATGTTATATACTTTCGCTGTTACCAACATACTTGTACTGTATATCGAGTGCTTGACCGTCTACCCTGCCATACTACGAGTACTAGCACCTTGGAATCATCACACATAAGTTACTCGAGTATGCAATGTCATATCAAAATATCAAATTCCTCAAGTATAATATGATACCATCAATAATAATAATCGAATTCAGCATCCCCCGTAAACCTAACCCCTCCTTATCAGCGCTACGAGCTCTCGTCTGAACTGTGGGAGCTTCTGGTGTGGTGGGGGAATGATGGGTAGTCTAAGCCCTCCCTATTACTCGAGTACATAGTGAAAAGTACTGGACTAATGTTTACGAGTGAAATGGGATTTTGACGTGCTAACATTAGGAGAGCAGATCATGCTAGTCCTTCACTAATTCGGCTTTCTCTATTCGCGAGGCAGGGTCTCGCGATTCAAAAACAGCCCACAATAGCACCCCCTTGCCGGGTTGGCTTATACGTATTTTTTCCTCCGTTGGCATATCTCTCGCGAGTGCCCATATCAAGACGGGTGGCTTAAGCTCTCCCGGCACACAGCTGGCTCTAGTGAGGGGCTTGGGATTTTTCCGTGAGACATTGTACAACAAAGGAGGAAGAAGACTACCAATGTATACAGTGTGGTAGAAGCTCTCTAGGTGGGTTTTTTTTACTATTTCTATTTTTTCAGCAGCAGTAGACTCTTTGCTGAGAAGGCTTGCGGACGAGGAACCAGCAGGGAGGAGCAGGAAAGCCCGTGAAAACTTAAATAGAAGTTACATACTTATTTCAGGTGATGAAGGAATTCAGAATGAAGGTAAAATATCCCTAATCCCCTGATGAGACCGGACTGCCATCACACAAAATCACTCGTCGGTGGGTTAAGGACTTGTGTTGTAATTCTTTGGGGGTACGAAGAAAGTTGAGGAACCAAATACTCTTCAATTTCCACAGAATACAGGACTTATATATACTACTCAGCCTTAGCGGTCATTCTGGATGATCTGTCCAATTCCAAGATCATATCCCCAGCCAGGCTCCCTAACGCAGAAGCTATCTCGGCTCTCGCCCAATATACCCCTAGCTGTGGACCACAAGAATCTTGAGAAGCAACTGTTTCCGACAACTTGTGTTGGAAATATCGTATGTGAGGTGAGCGATTGAGATGGAACGTGGGAGATCACAGAGTGTGAGAGGAGTATATATCTGAGAAGGTGAATCCGAGAATTGTTTTTTGTTTCTCTTGTGTACCAGGCAATGGTACTTATACCTCAGAGAGGTATCTATATACAGCGCTAATGAGACTAGTTGCCACTATGCCTGACCAGATATACTTCCGTCACATTGAAGCCATATTCCCAACAACTTGGGCGAATGTGCTATTGTGGCTCAGGTTTGTCAAATAGGTGAACAAGAGCCTCTCTTTTTACCTCTCTTGATCACAGGTTGACCCGTTTGGGGTTATAAATAGTTTGTGAATAGTGATTAACCCAACAGTTGTAGACTAGCATTAAATTATGCCTGGGTGGCTGCAGGGTCCCCCGTGAGCCGGAGTGTATCGAAGAGGCTACCGTGCGACCGCAGGTAAACTCTTTCTGTTTTTCCTCCCCTGTTCTAAGAATGGCTAATTTGAGATCCAAGGCGGCTTGAGGGCCTCACTTACTCACTTAGCCCCCTCACGCAAGCTTTGAAGATGAGATAAAATAAAGGGTTTATGGAGTCATTTATGTGGCCCTGGTGATTCCCGCAAGGATCTATTCATTGGGTTACACGAAACGGGCACGTATCGAGGATGCTACAAGAGGTTGAGAAGTATTCCAGTGGCCCATATGCAGAATGGGAGCTAACTTCTAGGGCTTTCGGCTGTTTCTAAGTCGCTCTCGATAAGGCACGATTGTCCTGGGGTGTCCGTGGTGCCTTCTGAACTCTTGCGGCACGGAAGAGTACCATCATCCTTGAGAAGATTCCCGTAACCCTTTCCCACCACCTTTCTTTGATCCTAGGAGATTTGGAGCGCTACCAATATTGCTCGAATGAAACCACCAGCCTGATTTCACAGCATCCCTCGGAAGAACGGGAGAGGTCGGGATAGCTGTGAGGTTTAACTTTTAAACTAACTCTACTCCCGTGATCTTATCATGTCATGCACCACTGGTGGGAAGTCAAGATGTATATAATACGCCAGACTTTCCTGGTCATGCCATTCTCCTGGAGGAAAGTTCCTCGTGAGATTCCAGGAATCCAGTTCCCGGCCAGGAATATCGCCAGGCATGTGGTTCTCCCAAGTGTTTCTAGGTATGATACTTTCCTCACCACCCTCATCCCCTCCGCAAAGGCACAAAGAGAGCTACAAGGTTAAGCCAATTCCATCCCTACAGATTTTCCACAGCATGATACTGCAATAGATATCTTGACTTCCACCATATTATGGTAGAGCTCCAGCTAGAAGTAGAGACACACAATTGGTTATGTCATTCTACTTAATGTTTCTGGGTGTTTTCCATGTTTTTTTTTCGATCAATTCAATTACCTCCTTGAAGACCAGAGAGTTGAATCGCATGATCTAAAATCCCTCCCCGAATGATGATAACACACGTGTAACCCTCCGGGAACCGTAATAAGAACCCGAACTCCATATGTGTCAGCACCATGTTGAACACAGGTCATTCAACTCGGGTGGATTAGATAACACTTGTTCCTAGTGGGTAGCAATGGCTTTTTTTGATACCATTCATAGTGTCCCTTTATAATGGTGTTTCAAATTTGGCTTGAATCCGATTTTTTTTTTTCCAAGTTGCCCTCATCATTGTACATAAGCATAGTATATAGTTGCCCACACAGCCCGCGGCAGCGCTCCCATGCTTCTCCCAGAAGGCAAAGCATTTGGACCTGCTCTATTCAACCCAGGGAATCCTCAACCCCTACTATTCCAACCTAGTTTACTATTCTCAAATAGCCACGGTACCCAAGATAAGCTCTCTTGTCTTCCACCCACTGATTGCCAAATCTGCCCATTCACACCACCAACTGTTCGAAAGCACACCTTTACCTGAAGTCAATTCCCCAAGTGAGCACAACGGACAGCCAACATATCGGAATCTCCATCAAAATCAAAACACCTAGCTCTATCGCCAAAATTCTAGTCACAACGCCCCTCAGCATCATCGTACTATTATTGGTGACTAACTTGACTCCCATATCCGCGGTCGGATACCTCACGGCCCTCCTTCTTCAACCTATACCCCCAGAAAAATTCATCTCATATCACACTGGTATGCTCCTCTGGTGCAGCGTCACTATCTATTACAGTTACATTAACATCTACTACAACAAACTCATCAATCTTTGTGAATCCGTGGGTGCAAGCTTTACCAAATGGGAGTTTGCCCACCGATCATTAACACTTGGTAAGCAAGAAATGCCAGAAATAGGGAGTTTGCCTGGCTCCTTTATCTTCACGGAATCGGAGCCCAGAGTCCGAGGTATCCCACCAAAAGAAACTAATATCTCGGCTAAAACGACAGCTGAGCCGCTTGCGCCTGGTCCCACGGCGGAGAAAGTTCCGGTTACATCTGGAGAACACTCACCCTCTCCTCCCAGTACAGTCTCAGAAGAAGCACGGACAAAGGGTAACCCTTCCAAGCCTAAAGAGAGATTACCCAGAGAGAAATCCCCACCAGACGAGAAAGCTAGAGATAGGGATTCTCTATATTCTAGAAACCCACAACTGCTAACAGTTCATCGCCCCCTTAGGTGGCACTCCGGAGGAAAGTATCTAGACGGGACACGCATCCCTCCAAGACGCAAGCATAACACATATACGGCGGAACCACCAACTACCCCAAAGGAAGTTACTCCCCCTTCCCAAGGAGAAACAGAGACTACAGCTCCAGGTAATAATGAGGAAAGAGGTCTGAGAGAGGGACCAGATATAAGTGACCTGCTCTCTCCTGAAAGAAATTCATTGGCCACCTCCACGCCATCACAATATATTCCCGCCAGACAGGGCCCCCTGTGGGGAAAGGCATCTCCCCTACAAGCAGAGTCTCTCACATCACCACCCTCACCCTCACCTTCACCCACCCGTCACCGGCCACGGTACAAGCGTCCAGAACAACTCATCTCACAGAATCAGAACATAGGTATCCCAGATCCGAGCCCCAATTCCAACAAAGGTACGTTTCCAGAAGACGAAGATACAGTTATGGAAGAGGTGCCCTCGTTAGATTCCGGCTACGTTTCTAACGCTATGGGTGACTGGGGCACCACACGAGAGCCTATCGAGAAGGAAAGAATGGCGGTCGCTGTAAGCACAAGTTGGAGTAACGATCGGAAAGCAAGTTTCTGCGATTTGGACGGGGTATTGGAGGAGGATATCCTCCGAATCATGAACATGTGGAGAGCCAAACTGTTAGAGGTCTGTGAGAGCAAGTTGGCAAATGTCGTGTTTTAGACAGAAGTTGATTTAGATAGTGGCGCGGGCTCTGCAGTTCCTGTATGACCGGTGAGGGTCCTCTACACGACAACAGACCCCCCTCCTTTGTTTTGTATTATCAAGTGCCCGGTTTATTAGCCCTTTGTAGATTTAGATATAGTTCAAGACACCCAAAACGTGTACCAGACCTGTCAATTTCAAATCCTTAAGGCTTTATAGGGGTAAGTGCATATGAGAAAAAAAAACCTGTTTATGGTTCTCCTTCATCTCCTCTTTCAGAAACAGTTTTTTTCTTTAATTTGCTCTCACCCCTACAAACCCTTAAGGATTTGAAATTGACATGTCTAGTCCACGTTTTGGAGGTCTTGAACCATACATTAGGAAAGAAACTCTCAAGGGAGGGCGTCAGCGTGACAACCCGAATTCGCCATTAACTTAGAGTTCAACTCTCGATATATCAGATAGCTGACCCGAACCCCAAGAATCAACCGCAAAAAACCTATCGACACAGAACAAGCGAACCTACGTCACGAAGGATAACTCGCGGAAAAGTCAAACCCTACCATCGGTCATTTCAGCCGGCGTTCGGGCACTACAATACTGTCCGTTACCGTATGTATACCCCCAAAAAGTACATGCACCAGCACCATAAATCACACCCGTAAGGTACAATACAGTATCTAGTCAAACAGTATCCAGTAAAAATAAGATTTGCTAACGGGCAATATCGTCTTTTCTCCATAAAGAGTTTCCCATCGTAGAAAACCGCTAATCAATTGTACCACCCCCGCGCCCCCTTCATAACAAATGGGGTTTAGATAGCCAACCGACAGAGATTGGGGGGGGGGGGGGAGTAGTTAGACAAAAGGCTTAAAGCTGATGGGGGTGTCATATACGCAAAAGGATGCTATCATAAATTTACCAAGGAAGAGCCAAGTAGGACCCCCACCCTTCCCCCTGCCTTACATCTCCAGCGAGATCTAAAGTATATTTTCTTCATTATATATATATAGGTCCCGCTATAACGGCGTGTAGTAGTATCATAGGTTTACGACAAGTTCACCATTCTCCTCGTCGCATCGTACGCTATGTTGTGCCCATAAACTTACCGTTCGAATCATAATCCAGCCCGAGTGATTATCCGTGACAGAAACCGGACCAGTCAGAGGCATCCGGCACCAGGCATCTAAATTATGATACCGGTAAATCCAACTCGATCCGAGAGTTTATCAATGCACAGAACCCCCCGAGGGGAGGGGGGGGAACGTCGAAATAAGATGTGGCTCCCCGGTATCTTCTCCCGAGACAGATGATCATCCCATGATATCTCACATTATGATATAATAGCTGGATTTCAAGACCGAGAAAGGTTATGATAAGGTAGATGAAACCACAATCCGTGCACCCGCACCAAAAGGTTGTAAAAACAAATACCGGTATAACTCGGCCCAGCATCCCTCCCTCCCTCCCTCTTCACCTCCCCCCCCGCCCCCCGTCCCCCCAACCCTCCTCAAAAACTCCAAAGGATAGGGGGGAAAGAGAAAAATGGCAGATTTCTACGCAGGATACATCTCTGGCATCTTCGCAATCCTCGTCGGCTCACCCCTAGACATCCTGAAAGTCCACCTACAATCCCGCTCCTCCTCCCCCTTCTCCTCACCCTCCACCACACCCTCTTCCCCCCTCTCCTCCACGCCGTTATTTCCAACAGTGACAAGTTACATCCGGGGAACCGCCGGCCCGCTCCTCGGCAACGGCGGCCTAAACGCGATTCTGTACTGTACCTACAACCGCATTCTCTCCCTCCTTTCGGCGCCGCAGCAGCCGCGGCAATCGTCGCTAGCGGCGATATGGGTTGCCGGCGCTGCCGGTGGCGCCCTATCGTGCGTGTTCGGCGCGCCGGTGGAGTTAGTCAAGGTCCGGGCTCAAATACGCCCTGGCGAGAATAGCTATGAAGTTGCGCGAGGGGTCGTCAGGAGGGAGGGGGTCAGGGGGCTCTATTTGGGAGGGCTGGTTATGGGGGTTAGGGATTCAGTCGGTTGCGGGTTTTAGTATGTTCTGTTGTGGGAGTACGGTAGTCACTGCCGTGGGTGGCCAAATGGCTAATACCGGTATGGCGTGTAGTTTCTGGGCGTATGAGTATATAAAGCGGCTGCTGCGACACGAGGAAGTAGCAGGGGGAGGGCAAGATCAACAGATGGCGGGTATGAAGATACTACTTGCAGGCGGTGTGGCGGGATGTATTAGTTGGCTATTGGTATACCCGCTCGATGTCATAAAGACCAGGGTGCAGGTGCAGGGCGAGTGTGAGGGATTGTTGGCCAAGCGGAGGCTTGGGGCTTGGGAATGCGCGAAGAGCGCTTATGCCGAGGGCGGCGGGAGGGTGTTTTTCAATGGGCTCGGCGCATGTATGGCTAGGGCTTTTTTGGTACGTTCTCCATATTCGTATACTCGAGTACAACGCCATGGCACCGGTGTGGCAGTGGCGATGGGCTTTGATGAGTGAGGTGAGGGCTAATAATCCCCCTTGTGTTGCCGGTAGGTTAGCGCTGTTCAGGTATGATATGCGATTCGATCCGATTCCGTCCGAGAACCGACATCATGCACCACATTCCTGAGGGTTGGAATGAATGAGCTAACGATAGTATCCGTAGTGGGCTGTTTATGAATGGGTCTTTGAGAGGTTGAAATAGTCATTAGAGTATGCGGGTCATGATACTTGTACTAGACATCCTGGAATTACAACTAGACAATACCGGTAGTCCACCGGCAGAAGTGGAATGGTTAATGCATAACCCTCCCGCGCTGCCGGGATAGGACAATAGAACTCAACCCCGTCCCACAAAATAGGCAGGATGTCCTGAACTATGCCCTTGATCGCATCACGTGCAAAATTACGAGCCCGCAACACCTTCTATTAGCAACAACCAAGAAACCCTAGTCAAAACACGTCTTACAGGCTTAGAAGGGTATTATCGTACAATACAGGAAAACAACCCGTTGAAATATGAGCACCATTAGGTAGACGCAGCCCAAAGCGCAGCCATTCCTTTGCCCCAGCGCAGGAGAGCGACCTCCAACTCCCCTTAACCCGCTCCCTCGAAAACAAAATAGAAGCAATATATATATATATATATATGTAATAGGATATATCATTCAAAGAAGAAATTGTACAGAAACCCATAGTCATCCGGAAAGTGAAACCTACTTCAAACTCCCTAGGGGCCAAAACATTGAAATCTAGTCCGACCAGAATTGTCGATAACACGACCCTTCCACTTCCATTAAAAATTCTCCTTGCCCCTATAAACCGATCAGCCAAATCCACGAGATTAAAGAAGGAATACCGTACCAAACAAACGAAAACCCCGGTTCGGAATACTGATTGCACTTGACGTGCAATGTAGACCCGAGTGGTTTGGGTCCACAGAAGACTAAAAGCAGCAATCAGAATGCATAACCTAAAAGAACTGGAACGGAGGAAACATACAAACACCGACTTCTGCGGGCTTGTGGATCGCTCGGATGCTCTTGAATACGGTATCCCAGTTAGGCCTTCCAAAGTTTGTAGGCGCTCGAAGACCCGTGATAGCATCCTTCTCAGCGTTCGCATCGTTAATCATAATATTGGTGGCATCATCAGGCTTAATTTTGGCCGTGAGGTAGGTGTGAATTTCGATGAGATGACCAATATCCTGAGCCTCAATGGCCAGAAGCAGAGACCGGAACCATTCGAAGGAGCCGAAATCACGGCAAATCCAGAAGAAGTACACCTTGTGAAGTCTCGTCTTCTTTTGAGGATAGTTACTCCTGTACCAGATGCTCTTCAAGATAGATGCAAAAGGCGTGACACCGATACCAGCTCCAACGAGCACAGAAACCTCGTATTTGAAAACGTCCTCAGATGCCGACCCAAATGGTCCATCAATGTAAACTATAGGCAAAGTGTTAGCAACGCTCTCCCATGTTCCTCCCTAAGATTTCCAAGCAGCGTACCCCTAGGCAAGACCCTACGGATAGCAGGGTCGACATCTTCCTTGGTATTCTTATCCACACCAATAACCCTAGATTCTCTCCTTTTGGATTTATCGGCCCTGCCGCCCTTCTTGTCGATATCACATCCCAGCGTCTTTCCCAGCGCCTTTGTGAAGTTTCCAACCATGCGGACATGGACGGATATATAGTCCTCCTCGGGAGCGCTGGTAAGAGTGAAAGGATGATATTGCCAAATGGAAACCTCGGGGCAGCAAAGGAATATATATTGTCCAGCATTGGCCTTTGTGTGCTCCTTCTTGATCTGAATCTCTACCACGTTGCTGGGGTGCTCAATAACCTTGCTGATATAGGTCTTATGCTTTCCACGAATCTCCCTCATAATCCTTTCCCCGAGATACAAGAGACCCCCAAGCATCCAAAACTTCCAGAAAACCCCGATACCATCACAGAATGGTGGGCGATCCGGCTTGATCATACAGAAAGCGCCATGGAATGACCAGAACAAGAAGAAAACGAGGAACAAGTGGTGGGAATACCTATTAATAAGTCAGCAAAATCGTATCCCATAATCCTGCATATGTATTCGACGCACCAAAAGCGTTCAAAGTTTGCCCTGCGAGGTTTGTCCATAGCAGTGACAGCCATAATCATCAAGCAAATCAACATGATATACCCAGTCCAGCCCGGACCAGAAACAAAGTTAGCTTGAAGCCACCCAACGAAACCGAGTTTCTCTCTAATTGCAAGCTGTGCGAAGTTGTTCCAATGGGCAATTGTGTGTAGCCAGGAGAAGAAGACGATGGACCACGCAGTCACTATAACAAATGTCAGTATTCGCCCCCAACAATAATTTCCATGGATTAATTTACTTTTATGGAAAGTTATATTCTTGTCTACAAACATGTCAACAGCGCCCAACACACGAACCAAACCCATGACAAACATACCGAATTGGATGATCCCATTGAGTGCAGTCTGGCGAGCCATAGAGATCAAGTTACGGCATACAGCTATCCTTCCAATCAGCACCCATTTCCAACACATCCACCGCAAGGCACATACGTAGCAGAATAAGAGCGACATCGACATGAAGCACAAGAGCCGCAGACCTCGCTATTGGTAGGGTGATACCAAATACAGCTCGAGGACCGACGAGATTGTCCTACAAATAGTTAGCGCTCACATACATTTCCACCTCCTAGCAGAACCCAGACCTTCAGCGTGTAATGCAAAAAGCCAAAGCCAAACACAAGCAAATGCAATAGCACGAAGATAGCGACAAAACTAGACTGTCGTTAGCGATGCTATAAGCGAAGAGACGATGCAAAAACGGACATTCGTCGGTATCCTTCGTTCACCATCCTTGACCTGATGTTAGCTCCTAAATACTTCCAGCAAACTCCACCAGAGCCCGAAGCACATACCAACGGTCAACCTTCTGTTTCATAGTAAACCGCTTGTTCTCGTTGTGGGTAACATCCGGGGAGCTCATCTTGGCCGCAAGAGCCGGCCACCGAGACCTCTCCGACCGCGTCCCCGAACGCTGAATGTTGTTCATGGCTATCGCCTCTTCCCGTAATTTGGGCGGAATTTTAGCGAAGGTGCGATCAACGCGCGGATGACGGTCTAGAAATCGCTCGTATTCAGGTTATACCTGTGGTGTTCAGAGCCAGCTGAACCGTGTGCTAGGATCCAGCGAGTCGACAAAGGGAGTTTATTGCGAAGCCTAGGTATTGTTTCTGCGTAGATCTGGTATAGAGACGAGCTTGGGTAAGATCTGGTAGTAAATGCTGCTCCGGTAGCACTTGAAGTGGAAAGTCCAATAGTAGATCCAGCACCACTACTGCAAATGAGAGAATGTAAAAAAAAAAAGATAATTAGGTGCAACTGGAGGGTTGCCTATGCGGAAGGAGATGGGCGAGAAGGAGTGAAAGGAAAAGTGGGACAGAGGGTAGAGAAGGGAGAGAGGGAAGCGGGAGGCACCAAAGGGGTAAGGGGGTGTTTGGCCCGCCACGATTCTGATTTGAAAACGTGATCTGACTTCAAACCATGATTCGAAATCAGGTGATGTTTAGCGTGCCCATTTTGTATTCTGATCTCATATCTGATTCCGATTTGAAATTTATGTACTTGATCCCAGGTTATATTGAACAATAATTCCTTTAGGCCCTGTTTGGTTGCGCTGGTCCCATTTCGTTGTTACATACAAACGTCCATTTCCCTTCCATTTCGAAATGGAAGAATGAAATGGCTGTTTGGCACTGGCAAAAGGTACCGACAATTCCATTTCACAACAGCCCTAATGCAACAGTTGCCCTATGAATGTAAATATTCACAACACCAGGACAACCATTATTTGCCTATAGAATAGCTTCCTTAGATATCAATCATATCAGTAAGGCATTTTAAAATATCCTTTGATTCAATGGCATCTCAATCTGAAGATAATTCTCTATATGCAGATACAGGAATGCTGTTGGCAGGGGGTCAAAGGTATGAATTTGAGAAGGATTAGATGTATTATTGAATTTTTTTAAGAGGCTCAATAACACTTTTTTAATTTTTTTCCAGTCAAAAAGGGTTCAGGGTGTTCATTGGAAGTGAGTGGTGTTGAATGGACGACGACCGTTTGCACGGGTCCAACCATTTCACACTGGAATGGTCCTGAATGGGACCAGCGCAACCAAACAGGGCCTTAGTGATAGGTTAGGGTAAAATGATTACTTGTAACAGTTAACAGAAGAGGTATTTGTTTTAACATATAAATATTATAAATTCACAAATATACACAGCTGAAAAGTTATTAATATTAAAGAGAGTTTGCTATCACATTAATTATAATTATATTATAATATCTTGTATAAGTCATAGTAATTGACAAGATATATGCATTTTTTAAATCTAATGATTATACTAGTTATAAGAGTTGGGGCCTAATCAAAATCAAATCAAGTAGTGTTTGGCATGTCCTAATCTCAAATCATGATTTCAAGTCAACCTGATTTGGTTTTAAAAAATCCGATTTCAAATTGCCAAGACCTGATCTCAAATCAAAATTAGTGGTGGGTCAAACATCCCTTAAGACAAAGAGGGAAGGGGAAAAAGAGTTGATGTATCATATAGTAGTAGACACCAAAAACATAGACCAGTAGAGATTTAAAATGTATCATAATACCTGATATAATTAGGATCTAGGGTACTTAATTACAAATTAGAAATTCCTACTAGTATATCACTTGTTCAAGTCCCAATACTATTAAGATTTCTCTTTGATCAAGATATTTTTCTTTCTAATTCTGTAGGGAATTATAGACACAGACTATGGGGTAATCTTTTATCTAGCCTTTCACTGCAAAATTAATTTTGTAGAGTATTATTAGAGGGATACAAAGCAGTATACTTGTAAGTACTGCAAGTATGATTTTGAGTCACTGAAATTCTTGGTTCCAGAAGCTCTAAATAGTATCCCTAAAACATTGGTTTAGAAATATTAAGCATGCACAGAGTGAATTATGGATACATATTGATCTAGAATTATCTACACCTCTCCAGAGCATGAGAAAATTGTGCACAGAAGATATCACTATCATCATCATGTAAATAATTTCATCTAAATTCCAAATAGACAAAGAAAAATATAATTCTTTCTCTTACTTAGTTTCCATCATCTACATTCTCAGGAATAAATAAACTTATAACTTGAAAGATAAATAGTGATTAAAGTTTGAATCTGTAACCTAAGAGTTTCAAATTTCAACTTAAAAACCCAGACCTGCTTATATCAGGCATTACATTTTGAATCTCCACTGGTCCATGTTTTTGGCGTCCACCACCATACTCGAGTACTAGTACCGCTAGTGGATGCGATGGTATGATAGGAAGGCGGGAGGGGAGGAAAGGACAGTGGGCGGGGATACTATCGGCTGGGCATGCACAGCAAACAACAGCCGAAGCGTGATATTCCCACAGAAAAGAATATTTCCCTTACGGTAGCGCTAACTCGCTCTCTCGCTCTCTCCCTCTCTGTGTGAGACCTCCTCTTGGTTTTCTTTTCTAGTCAATCTGTCCTAGAGAGAAAAATTGTAGTCGAGTAACCAACGGGGACCATGTCCCACTTTTCTATTCTATCCTACAAACGGGCAAAAAGTCGCCTGATCAATGCCCGTCAGTCACCAGTCCTGAATCCTGGCTGCTTCTGAAAGCTGAGTGGCATCAACCCATCCTTGTTGATGCTAATATTCCTCTCTTTCTCCTCATTCTCTGCTAACGCCTAAAACGCCAGTCTACCGACCAATCTCCCCACGCACCTCCTCCCTCAGCGGTAACGTACGGTACTGGGCCCTCCAAAGCGCCTGGCGAGAATACCGCACCGGTGCTCCAATGAGATGTCCCTTCATGACTTCCCCGTCCTAAGTCACCCTTCCTCCTCCAGAATCAGAAATCGAACAATTGGATTCGGATTATCGAATCAATCGAGACTAGCTTGGGTCAGCTGCAACTACGGCGGCGGTTAAGGGGCATTTAGGAAAACTCACACGTACGAGTACGAGCGTAGCAACCTATCGGAGTTTCACAGGGGTTGCTGCGAAACACCAACCTCTAACCCTGCTCCCCACCAGGCTGGGCTGCACGTACTGTGCGAGTGCAGTAGGCAGTTGGGCAGCCAACCACAGATACGGTACTTGTACTGGTAACGCGTTTCCTCACCATTTCGCATCCAATGCCGCAGTTGCATCTTGAACCATCTCAAACACCCGAACAATTTCTCGATTATCATAACCACGAGAGAAGACAACATCAAGCTGCGAAATCGTCCCGGGCGCCTCATCTGCTAACCTTATCGTATGATACCATTCAAGTGCAAGCACAGACAAACCAACCAACCCTCCCTCCCCAGAATTATTTGACTGCAATCCTACTCTCGCATCGCATACTACAAACTGCCCCCTACGGTACCGCATCCACCTATGGTGCGAGATGAGAAGGGTGAGTCCGTCCCCCTTGTTCGCACCATGAGCAACCCGCCAATCACAAAAAATAATACTTTCAATTATTTGTCTTGGAGGCCACAGAATCTATGGGAATTATGGATTTGGATTGTGGCCCGCGTGCGGGGGAGTGAATTCCCATGGCGGTATGAACCGGAGTGATAAACTCACCCTTCTACAAGTAGCCATCTCACCCCATAAGCACCGGTACGGTACCCCAGCTGGCAGTCGTCGCTTTTCTGCATCTCCTCCCACCACAATACTGAGCCAATTCTTACCAAGGCTTCCTGCACTCTCACGGCAAAAATCCTCGTGTAACTATCCCATCCCGAATCCCTGGGTCGATCAATCCAGGCACAATCACCATACGTACATATTTGTACCGTGCTCGAGTATGTACTAGTACTAGTACTCGAGTACATGTACCGTACTGATACGGTACTTCACTCCATTACCTAGTACACGTTCAGACAACTCCCATCCCAACCCTTGTGTGCCAGAACACAAGTACTCCCAAACATAAGGAGCTTCAGCGCTGTCACAAACATCCCCTGGGCAACTTCTGGCGGGAAAAATCGCCATACATCTCGAAAGAAAGCATTTTCAGATGCGGGTATACCGGTATGGTACGCATAAAAACGACTACCGAGAGCACAATCCAAAAACAAAAATCCTTCCTTGTTCTCCCCTTGCGAAACTTGCATCTCCCCTGTACCCTGTCTGAGCTTCCGTCGGAGGGCTTAGTGCCGCTCTTCCGAAGGCAAACCCGACATGGGAAAAACATATCGAGTGTTCCCCGTGCGCCCTCGTGGTGTTTTGGCATCATTCACATGAACCTTTAGCCACGCGATACTGCTTCAGGAATGAATCTAGCGCTCGACAATGCCGCCATGCTCGAGTATCGGCAGGCCACGCTCTACTCCCCGAACGAAGAGTCCAGTTTTGGTACCATACTGTTTTCCACACACACCGCCAACCATCGCTAACCCTCCCAAGCCGCGGATCCCATGTATGCAACCTTCTCCACGCCCCGCCTCCCGCCCCCTCCTCTACCAGCCCGGTTCTGAGAGGGAGCGAGATTAGAGGCGATTTCAGGCTCTAGCAGCCCAGCCAGGAGCCCGGAAACCGGCATCGAAGGCAAATGTTGTTTCGCGGGCCAAGGAAGTAGACTAGTATGCAAACCCAAACCCAAAGGGCACGGCGGGAGAAAACCAAGAGGATTTCCAAAAATTTGAGAAGCTCCAGCAGTATGGAATTTTTGGTGATACCGCTCGTTCCTACGGTTCCAGTGTTTCGGATAGCGCCGCCATATACTTTACAGTGGTGAAACGGCATTTCTGTTTTACTATTTTAAACAAGCGCGGGCTCGAGCTCTTTGCAACATTTAACCGGTATTGTGGGCATAGTATATCACTCACAAAAAAAAAGTCAGATGAAGAAATCTCGTATGATAAACAATTACTCACATACTGAAGGGGAAGAAATATGGCACATACCAAGCATTGGCGCCCGGCCAGCGCTCTTCAGAGGTGTCCGTAGTGGCCTTACCGGTACTCCCGGCCCTCCACCGTACCCGTTGCTATGGAACAGGAACGCCCCCCCGCCGCAAGCCTGTACTGTATGATAATTGGAGCGGGCGACAAACCCATAATCTTGAAACCAAACCGAACAAAGCACTCTAACCCACGCCACACTCTCAAGGGAAGCGCGCGAGCACCACGTCAACAGTGAACAACCGCTCAAAACTACCTCTGGCAACGGATTCCCCAGCCCACTATTATCAAGAGTGGGCAGCTGGAATGGCAGATAGGGGAGGCAGTTGTAAATCAATGGCAGGTCTTCGCATCAGGGCACGATTTCGGGGTAAGAGCGACTGACTTCCCTCTGAGCGTTAACGTTTTTATCTATCGGCGTATATGCCGGGTTCCAACGTTTCAAAATCCATAAGGATGGATGTGCTGTTCCACCCCAAGGTGACCTTTTAGCGAAACATAGGTTTTTGGGCGCATTGGTAAGCATGATAATTATCATACGGTAGTACCTTCTAGAGTGCTCACCCAACCCTTCCCCCCGCTGCAAACCAGCCATAATGTTCTGTTCCCGCAGCTAGATACTGCCGAGCATAACAAAGGGCCGTGTGATAAATTTTCCGGTCCGGTGTACCCGCAACAGATCCGCGCACAGCTAGAGAATTGTGATCGGTGGGCTTTATCAACCCGAGCGTTTGCGCCAGTGCAGTTAATCTTGTCCGCGAGGTCGATGATTAGCTAGATACCGGTATTGGCTGCACGGCGATCGAGTTATAGGGATAGACCCCAATTACCAATACGTCCCCAAGGACACCACACAAGGCGCCATGCAGAACTCGGGCCACCAGCATTAGCAGCCGATTTCCATGTTCCCCGGCCATAGGGAGAAGACACAGCTCTGAAGCCTGCTGCGCCTCCAACCGCAATAAGGCTGGTATTGCGTTACTCGTACGGATGTTTACAATACCCATGACCCCAACGTATGATAGCTACATACCGCTATCACTTCTACCGTAGTCTACCTATCGCTGTGCTGACGCACGACAATTGATAGCCCCACCCTCCCCCTCACCCCCGATTACTACTCATGGCGGCCACGTACACAATATCGTACCGCATACCAGTACTCGGAAAGAGGCCGACGCGTCGACATCTCTCCCCATCAATGCGAACCGCAGTCTCCGAATCCCTTCTGAGTGATGGGCTGTGATTTTCCAAGCAACGGCGCAGCCACACACATTAGCTCCGTCCCGCTCTAACGTTCGGTTGTGCATACCAGTGGATAAATTTATAAAGCAACAGGACCGTACTCGTACCGTAGCTAAAAAATATAAAAAATATAAAAAATGCCCTGAACACTTTTTCTTCTTATATATGGTAATCCCTCCCGCGATATCGGCGACCAGGAAACTTCTGCCTTATCGAGAACTGGCGCTCTATGGTATGATACTCGTAATCGCGATGGTTCGCCAAGAGGGTTTTTGGGGTGGCGGTGTTGTGCTTTACCTGTATTGGTATGATATCATAACGAGGGATACGTGCCAGTAGAGCTTTGGGGCTGTGGAGATGCGGTAGGGTTACGGTACCATTGGTTTGGAGGGGAGGGGGTCTCTTCCCTTCTTTTCTTTTTCCCTTTTCCAGGCCGTTAAGTACCGTATGGCACCCGAAACCAGGGGTATATTTTGCACTAGTGCTTGGTGGCGCGCGGATTTGATTTTTTTGAGATATGATACCGTACTCGCACACTTATTTAAGCCCTGCTTTCCGAGGTTGTTTATGGGGAAAGTAGATACCGTCCGTATGTATGATTGTTGCCGTGCGGTACCGAGTACCGTATTGTGAGATGGGATTCCGAGCCCCGGTACCCAGTACCGGTAACTTACGGGTACTTGAAGGTGGAGGGGCCTGGCCCGTGCCGCTGGGGAGCAACTCTGCGGTGCAAGGACGGTGGGAAACCTGTGCCCGCGCGCACAAGTATGATATTCAGGGCATGGAGCCGATGCCGTGGATACATCATGCTAGGGCACCGTACCGGTATATATGATGGATTGATTAGAGATCGGGTATGATATCATATCCACGCTCGGCGCTTCTACCGGTATGCCGATGTCTGGGGAGGTTCGGGGGAGTAGGATACAGTACCGTATTCTATCAAGGGGCAAGGTTCCGCCCATTTTAGGCACTATGGTGCCAGCACTGCGTCCTACTGCACTGTACTAGTACTAGTACTCGTACGGTATTAGGGAGATTCAAAGCTCTCAGTACAGCACAGAGGTGTATTTTTTTTGGAAATTATGGTAACGTAGGTGGGGGGGTCAACGAACAGAGGGGCTCAACGAACAGACCAAACAAAACCACCGTTCGTCGAGACCTTTTTAGTATATTGTTCGCTGAACCCCCCTGTTCGTTGAGCCCCCGTCCATTTTACACAGCAGACCTCCTCAAAAGGAGGGATGCAGCATACCAGTACAGAGGTATGGTCATTTTATTCAAGCAGTACACCTGTATTTGTGGGCTATACCGTGTACTCGGTTCGCAGCTTACTGAGAGCTTTGAATCTCCTTATTATACGTGAGTTCCAACTTCCCAGCATAGAGAGAGACACGGGTACCGGCAGATATATACAATACCGGTATTATGATATGACATTTAACGAAGCTCTACCAAGTAGTACCAACCATATCATGACGAATGCCCCACTACCGGGCTACGGTATCATATCATAATTGCACGATGCTTGTAACTTACACGCTGCCACGGACCAGCTAGAGCATCAGATTTCCCCCAAACTGGGTTTAGACAAAGGGAAAACTGCCTCTATAAACCCTAACCCACAAATAATAAGGTTATTATCTCATCACTCGACGACACCCTGCACATCTGACTTCCTGCCACCTGCCTCTGGACCGCTGGCTGACCACCGAGCGAGCAGCTCACCAGATTCGAACAACAAAAAAAAAAATACATTGGGGGGGGGGGCATCCAGGCAGATCATGGGTGGAATCCACCGGATGCATTGGATATTGTCTTTTTCTTTTCTTTTCCGGGGAGACAATCACTTGGTACCGGAAGCCAGTCACCAGCACATATGTTCGACTGCACGGCAGCGGCAGCAGTGATGTCTGTACTCGAGTACGAGTACGTTGACAGCAAACGTTAAGCGGTTCACTCGCCGAGGCTGAGGGGAAAACAAGCTTTTTCTAGAAGGAAAGGCTTGGAGTGACAGGAAAGCGATATTTCACCCCCCCCCCTTTTTTTTTTCATGTCACAATCTTACGGTATTTGGAATGAGAATACTGTGCTGTGCAAGTACAGTGCCCTACGGTACCTGTTGATGTGCTTTTGTGATCGGAAGGAAAAAATGTTCCGTCCATTTCATTTTCTTTTCCCCCCGGGACGGTTCACCTGCGGGGACTTTCTGCTGCGGGAAAGCACCAACTGCATCCACTTGTTCGTGCATTGAGCTTTTAATAGGAGCACTGCCATCGTTCGATTCGTAATCTCTGGAAATTTGATTCCTTTGAGGGTAACCGCGTCCTTAAGTCATGATACTATACTTCGTATCGAAAGCCCCCTCGTCTCTTCCTCACCCCGCCTCAGCCCGTACCTGTGCTACCGGAAATCAGTGGTAAGTTGCCGGTACGGTAGCGTACTCGAGCGCACCAGAAGTTCACGGATATCACATCACGCTCGGAGCTTGACATGCCTCACAAGCAATACCGGTAGTCTACAGTATCATGTCTGAAGATAGAGAGGGGCAAAGTTTGGTCTGGCGTTCTACCGAGAGGACTTTTCCCCTATTTTTTTTTCCAAGTTATCCCCGACTTTACCTTACCATGGTGACCGAGTTTCTTTTGGTGGCCAGCGTGTGGCAGGGTTCGCGCACGTGAAGGGCGCAGTTTTGACTGAACCTGTTTCTATTGCTCAGCCTCCACCCTTGTCAAGCATACAATGGAATGGTGAATTACCGGCGCCGGTAATAGGGCAGGTATGGGTGGGCATGGCGGGGGGAGAAAGGTTGAAAACATCCAAATGCCCCTCCTTGAACAGCCATCCTGCATCCGTCCGTTTGCTACTCGAGTACATGCCACCCGAGCTTGCCCTGATTTATTCTTTCCTCCTCGGACCATCTCACAATCTCACTCCGAGCTGATATTTTTATTTCGGTTTATTCTGATCAACTTCTTCAGCTTGCATCGACAAACTTGAGTGAGAAGCCGCCATCACCTATCTTCTTCCATATTTTTCGAATCCGATATTTGTTTGGAGAGGTGGAGGAAAAGAGAGGAGGCTTCGATAGACACGCCATTCCGGATCGGTATCACTGGTTGATTTCTACTGCGGTTGGGAGAGGGGGTCCTTAGGGCCTACGGTGTTATTATTATTATTATTATTATTTTTCTTTGTTCCGTTTGCTGGGTGATTGCTCTGGCTGCTTACAGCCTTTTTTCTTCTCCTGTTCCTAAGATTTGGTAAGTTCTCTTATCCAATCAATCGAGCACTCTCTCTTCCCCTTCTACCGTGTGTTCTGCAAATTCCACACCCTCCGGACAGCCAGTACCGGTACGGGAGCAATGCAACTCCACTCTTCGTGTACCCCCCATGCAAGATATTCTGGGATGGATGGGAAGGCGAGCGAACGGGGGAACAGACACCCGAGAGGGAGAATAATGAGAAAGGGAGAGGGAGAGGGAGAGGAAGGGGGGTATTGAACTTCGCTTCAATACCCTAGTCCCTACTCTTCGCTCATGTTCCTCCTTCTCTGCTGCGGGGTTCTCACGATTTCTTTCGAGATTTTTACTTCCTTGAAGCGGTGGCTGATTTAGGGTCGTTGTTCTGCAAGTAAACACAATATTTCGGTGGACCGGTCGTACCAGCGGTGGTGAGATTTTATTTTATTTTGCACGTTATTCTCGTCCTGATCCTAATTTCTTCAGCCCTTTATCGGGACATCAGTAGATCTGACAAAGTGTCCGTGTAGCTTTCAAGGCAAGCATGTCCGGCATGGGGGCAACCTTTTATCCTGGAAAGGACGATTACATGATGCCAGACATCGCCATCGTTTCTCCATCACCTCAGAGGTTCGTACAGGTACTTTCTTTCTTTTTCCTGATTTTCCGGGCATCTTTTTCGTGTACTTTTCCCTCTAGTTCCCCCCCCCCCGTATCACTCTAGCTCGGCCACGTTGTCCAGGTGTTCCTGCCACTTAATTTTCTCTTTCCCTTCCCCCAGCCTCTATTGAGCCTCAAGAGTTTCTGCTTTTGGTGGAAAGCTGATATCTTTCACCGCAACCAGAGTTATGCCAGAGGTTCCCGTTCAGATCGCCGACAGCTTAGAGCATCTGGAACTACAATCTCAGGACGCAAGAGCTCCTGTGGGAAACGATGGTTATATGGATAACAACAACTATCAAAACGATCGAAGCCATCCTAGTAGCCAACAACAGACCCGGAATAACTATACAGATTCCTACGCGACCCCTCCACCGTCCTCTCAAGGCCACGGATCTCGACCGATGAGTGAAGAACACGACACTCGATCGAGCCATGGAGCTTTGCCGTACCATTCCTCGGTAGCCGATGACTACCTAGCAGGGTTCCAGACAACCGACGAGCCTTCGTTTTCACCCTTCCCGAAACTCGTCAACCCCGGTCCGAATATTCCACCAACGGATGAAGAGAAGGGTGATCAGATTGAGGCAGCTCGCTTGGCGGTCCTATCCTCGAATGACCCGGAAATGCAGCTGATATGGGCGCAGGATGCATTGAGCTATGTTGAAGTTTGCGTGAGCTACCTCACTCGGATCGCAGAACCTCCTGGAACCCGGCCACAAACACCCACGGTTGAACACCAAATCAAGGCAGATGCTTTGAGTGTCGTGACATTTTTGGCTGACCAACACCATCCACGGGCAGAATTTATGCGGGGAAATTGGTTAGAATTTGGAAAGTTTGGCTATAGGGGTGACAAGAAGGAGGCTTTCAGGTGTTATGCTCGATCTGCGGAAAAAGGGTTTGCTCGTGCGGAGTATAGGATGGGGATGCAGTATGAAAACTCTAATGAATCCATAAAGGCGATTAAACACTACAACCAGGGGGCAGCAATGGGTGATTCAGCTTCAAATTATGTTGGTCAAGATCACATATATACGGGCTGAACTGGTGCTAATTTTGTTCTGTAGAGACTTGGAATGATGACCTTATTGGGACAGCACAGCCAAAAGCAAGATTACGCTAAGGGTGTTCATCTTATCCGACTTGCAGCTCAAACGGCTGACGAAAACGCTCCCCAAGGGGCTTACGTAAGTGAACATATAAACTCCTTTCAGTGGGGACGCTCTTGCCCCGGTAATTGACGGTCCCTAGGTTTATGGTATGTTGCTGGCTCGGGAATTGCCAGGGATTGAAATCCCGGATCTATTTTTACCTCTTGATATCCGACAAGCGAAGGAAATGATTGAGAAGGCAGCATTCCTTGGATTCGCAGTATGACTTGTCATCCCGAATTACGCGTTGCACCACCACTAATAATTTCAGCGTGCGCAACTCAAAATGGGGACTGCCTATGAATTGTGTCAGCTTGGTTGCGATTTCAATCCGGCATTGTCTCTTCACTACAATGCATTGGCCGCCAGACAAGGTAGAGAGTACTTAGCCCTTTTTGGCACTCGAGCCGCACACTAACGTTAGCAGGTGAGGCCGAGGCGGATATGGCCATTAGTAAATGGTTTCTTTGTGGCCACGAAGGCGTTTTCGAGAAGAACGAAGAGTTGGCATTTAAATACGCCCAGAGAGCGGCATCGACTGGACTTGCCACAGCCGAATTCGCACTCGGGTACTTTTATGAAATTGGAATGCATGTTCCAACCGATCTCAAGGAAGCTCAGTTGTGGTATGGAAAGGTAAGAGGGCACCTACAAGATGCTGGATTGGATACAGTTTTTGACTTGGGGCTAGGCTGCTGCACATGGCAACAAGGACGCTAGTGGGCGTATAGAGGGTATCTCACGATCAAAGACCCTGTCTCGAAAGGATCATGAGAGTGTTGCTATATCGAAGATAAGGGCTCGACATGCTTCTCAGAGGCGAGTGGTTAATCCTCTTACCCAGAGGCGCCAGTCGGTGGTTCCGCCTATTATTAGTACCATTGAGGAAGCTGTAGACATGCCTGATCCTACTATTCCCCCTGGCGGCAATTACAACTACCCACCGGGGCCTCCGCCAATGCAAGAGCCTCCTCGGCCATTGGTGAGGCAGGGTACCATGCCTAATGTTGAAACTAGCTTTATTGCCCCGGATCTTGGCCAGAGTTATGTGAATCCCGGTAATGGGCCATTATCTGCTGTCCAGCCTCCCAGGAGGCCTGGAACCGCAGCCCCATATCCCGTCCGGTCGGGCTCTGCGGGATCCGGGGTTCTGCCCCATGCCAGGCCAATGTCTGCAGTTGGTTACGGTCAGAAATCCCACATTCCCGCTAGGGTCCAACTTTTCGACATGCTAACAGACATCTATCTTCAGCTATGGGGGCCCCAGCTGCGATTCCTCCAGCAGGCACTTACCCTGGAGGCCCATCACGTCCCTTCACTGCCATGGATAATCAAGGGCGAAGACCTCCCGGAGGGAGACAACAGCAGCTTTATCCGGGTGCTGACGAATACTCCTCGCCTCAGGGTCGCCAAGGCCCAGGGTATCCGGGGGGATTTAATGGAGAGCCGTTCCCTCATATCAGCACGCCTAAGCCATCCCAGATGCATGGAAACCAAGGAATTAAACCGCCTGGGACTCCCATTGATATTGGATTTGAAGCTCCTGCCCCCAGACCAAAACCAGCGAAATCTCCTGCTCCAAGCGTTATGGGAGGGCTAAACAACAGGAACCCTAGCGCCGGAGACAGGAGGCCTGGGAGCTCGCTCGGTCCTTACGGCCAACAACGACTATCGAGCCAACAGGGCCCTCCAAACAAGGCACACGGAAGTCCGCCATTTGGCCCTACCCCGGGTCCTCCATCCCCTCCAGTCAACCTTTCACAAACGCCAAAGCCACCCCTATCCAGTGCTACCCCTAAACCACAGTCTGCACCGCTCCCAAAGCCACCAGGAAAAGGACCCAAGACTTTTGAAGAAATGGGTGTTCCCCAGCAGACCAAGGAACAGGATTGTGTGAGTATTCCTCAGGTCCGGCGGCATGTTCTCTTCCACCCGACTAATAGAGTTTTGTGCGTACAGGTTATCATGTGAGGCGGTTATATGGGCTATATATACCATCCTTCCGTTGCGTGATAATTGCTTTCCGATTCCTTGACACACTTCAACTATAATAGATGACTCGATTGTGCTTATAGTCTATGTATATTCTGGCTAAAAGAAAGAACAATCCGGATATTGAGGGGGGAAGGCCAAGACAGGCTGAATAAAATGACAGCGGGCGTTTTTTTCTTTTCTTCCACCCTACCCACCTATCATCCTAATACTACTCGACTATGTTTTTCCATTCCTTTCTTTCCATCATTTCCTTCCCATTCAATACCGGTATTTAGCTTGCGCGTTTCCGTTTCTCTCGCCCGCAACTGGATATTTGATGGTCAATTCATCTCCTTTTCTCTTTTTTTTCCTTTTTTTCCCCTCCAATTTCCGCCACTCCTCCTTGTTTTCTACAGGTTATATTTAATCCTTCCACCCACCCATCCATTTACTCAACTCCTCTGCTACTGCTCGAGCACGGGAACGAGAAAGAAATATACATAAAAGCATTGTGGTACTGTATCTACCGGTACTTTTACTTGGGGCCAATCAATCAATCAATCAATCAATCACGATTTTGCCCTTTTTTCCTGTACTATGTGACGAGCATCAAGACGGCGAGAAAACAAAAGAAACAAATTACAGGTGTACCACCACTTTCGACACTACTACCAGATAGGTGGAACAATAATGAGAATGGTCAACCGGTTCAAAAGCGACGTTTTATGGTACATGAATTTCAGGAAAAGTGCGGTGCAGCGCGGTCGATAGTAGGGTGAGCACTGTAATAAGGTGCAAGACAAATGAAATTAGGTAAAACGAACGAGCAGATGGACGGATGGATATGGTGGACAGACAAACGGTAATTTGGCGGCGTAACACAACTCAGAGCAAGGCAAGAAGAAAAAAATTGAATTCGCCTCATTCGAACCAAGAGAGAAGAGAGGAAAGGAAAGGAAAGGAAAGGAAAGGAAGAAAAAGACTAAACTCCGCCCCCACCGGCCGGCCACCATACCTATTCGACTGTGGAATACCAACAGACTATCCATCCATATCCAAATCAATAGCATCGGGGTTAGCTTCCGTGCTCGTAGTCGGAACCACATTTCCAACAGATCCTTTAATCCCCCCGCCATCCTTCGCCGCGACGAATCCTGCGGGTGCCCTGACCTCCCGCTCTAACGCCGCCATCGCATCCCCCCCTCCGCCCCCCTCCTCATCGCTCCCGCTCCCCACGCCGCCGCCGCCGCCGCCAGCCTTCGCTTGTCCGCGCGCAAGCGCTTGACTAGCGATGAAGTTGACATCGGTATTGTACTGCGCCTGCACACTCCTCTTGATCCTGAGCATTTCCTTGAAGGTATCTTCGTTCCCGTGCTGGATTTCAAAGGCTTCCCATTTGGTCCAGAATTGCGGCGAAATTCTTGGATCGCAAAACTGCGATGCGTGGCCATAGATCGCCCTTGCTCTGTCGATTTCCCCGAGACGTCGTTCCATCTCGGCGAACTTGAGGCACATTTCTTTCGCCTCGCTGTCCGGTAGTGCTTCTATTGCGCGCTCGTAGATGGGTCGGGTGGAGGTTAGACCAAAATTTGAGGCGGACTTTGTAATGTAGAAGTCGAACATTTCGAAGCGGTCTTCGTCTGCTACTGCACGGGTTGCGCGCTCGTAGATGCGCATTGCGTGCCGGGCTAGGCCGCGCTCTTCTTCGAGGTTTCCGTACATTAGATAGAGGACTTTTGCGAACTTTGGGGGACAGTTTTCGACGGCTTGCTCGAAGAGGTCACGAAGTCGTTCAATGTCGATTTGGCGGTTCACAGCTTTGGTTAGGTAGAGATTCCAGAGTTCGAAGGCTACGGGGTAGGTGAAGAGGTCGAGGCCGCGCTCGTACACCTAGTTTTTTGTTAGTTTAATTGATATCGATAGATAATGAAAGGAGGGACACCTTGAAGCTCTCTTCAAAATACCTATTCTCCTCAAGAAGAGCAGCATAGTTTACCACTGTCTGGGGAGTGGCAATCCGAAGCTCGAAGATCCTTTCGTAAACCTTCTTCGTCTCCTCAAGCGTGCTTACACTCTCCACGAGATCAACGTAGAAACTCCATAACTTCCAACTCTTGTGAACCCTCTGTTGCGGTGTCAGCGTTTCGTCAAAATAATCAACAATGCTCCTCTTGGGCGATTGAGTGGCCTTCGCCATAATCTTGACCGCCTCGTCGAAGTTGTCGTTACGTAATTCCACCTCTGCCCATTCAACCCACATCTCCGCAAGCTCCTGGACAGACTTGAATGGGACCCGAACAGCCTTTTCCATAATCATCCGTGCCTGTCTAATGTCCCCATGCTTCTCATAAAATTTGGCATATCCGGCCCACAGGGAGTGGAATTGACCGACAGCCTTCTTCGGGTTAACGGCGGCCACTGCATCAGTGTACGTTTGGACAATCTGTTGCTTGTTGTCGCCCCAGAGCGCAACCCTCTTCTCCCACTCAATGACGTTATTCGGATTCTGCCTTAGGAGAACGTCGTTAACCAGGAAAGGCCGCCGATCCATCAATTGTTCGAACCGCGTCAATCGGATATCTAAATCAAAATCGGCGTCCTCGCTAACAATACCCTTCTCCTGCCGCGCAGCAGCCGCTTCCATCAGGGTTCCGATAACAGATTCCTCGAATTCAGTGTACGAGTCGAAGATCTGGGTAAAGTCCCGGACAGTCATAACGGTGGTGACGCCCTCCTCAAAAGCATCCCTTGCCTGCGCAAAAGAATCAGCAATCGATCCTTCGACAAACCCAACCATCCGAGCCACGTACCCTCTCGAAGTCGCCCTTAGTGATCCAATAGGTGCCCAAACTAGTCCACAATTTCCCCCGCTGATCACTGAACTTTCCGATCCCACTCCGCACAATCTTCTCCACGTCAACGCTCTTGATCTCACGAGCGTGGCTGACCAACAAGTCGCACAGCTCGCTCCACATCTGAAAGTGACTCTTCCCAGCCTTTGAGCGAAACTTTGGATTATCCAGTACCTCGATCCACTTTTGCGCTGCCTCCTCGTATTTCCCCATCTCAACAAGAAGCTCAATGAATTCCTCCGCATCCTCAGGATGAACCTGCATGTAACGTTTCCAAACCCTAACAGCCGTCTCACCAGAAGCGGAATTGGCGAACGGTAGATAGAGCGCCCAAATACGACTGTGCTGGGTGAGCGGCAAAGCCCGTAGGGCACGATCGAAGGTTCGGCGGGTCTTGGTAACGAGGCATTGCTTGAGCAAGAAGGATAGGTAGTCTGTCCAGATCCTGGGCATCTTGTTGAGGAGGATGAGAGAGCGTTCGAAGCAATCATTGACCTTGTTGTACTCGGCCTGGAACCGTGCCGGATTGAGGGAGGACACGTGCTTGACTCTTAAATCGAGATACTAAAAAGCTTCCAATGAGAATCTCCATCACATCACGACCAAACAATTCGCACTACCGCCACACAAAAAACAATAACAGAACAAAAAAAAGGACAACTGTTGGCGGGGCCGATCGAAGGATCGAGAAACACATACCATCTTCCAAAGTTTGTATGACCTAGGCAACACTTTACAAGCCCTCTCGAAAACAAACACCTGCTCATGAATACTCCCAGTCTTGACTTTATACTCCAAATACCGCAACCAGGGCTTCAAGCTCGAGTAAGGATCCCTCAAAATCTCCTGCTCATAATGAGCATCCTCCTCCGAGATAAGGTACAGATCGATAGCCGTAGCGGTGCCGGGAGCAGTAGTAGAAGGAGGCTTTAGGACGCTGTCGGGATGAGGCCGTTTACTAATAAGCATGGTTGTAGTTGCCGAAGCAGAGGATGAGGAATCGACTTCCATTGGCACAAGAAGCTCTCCGGGCATCAACAAACTAGCTTTTTTTTTCTTTTCTCGTTGTTGTATGTTTTCCGCAGGAGACCGAAGAAAAGCTGCCTCCCCACGAAGAGCCTACCCTATACCCGCAAACTCAACTGACCCGCCTCACCAATAGAGCACGGAGGATCGATTCCCTTTTCCCTCCCCCTCCTCCGTCAATAACCCCGCTCGATATGAAGGAAAGAAGGGCAAAAGGGAAAGAAATAGAAAGAAAGTCGCCAGACCCGTCTACAGATCGCGTCCCATGGAAGTTGACGAATGTCGACTTAAAACGGCTTTCGGTTCTCGTCGATCCTTCCGTCTCCTTCCCGCCCGACAACTTCAATCCTCCTTCCTCCTCCTCTTTTACTTCTTCTCTCCCGTCCTTCCTGCGCTTCCGTGGCGGGAAGCCTAGAAGGGGGGGGGAGGAATAGTACTATCGAAGATAAAGGGTTTTGAAAGAGCTGTAAGGAGGGAGGGAGGGAAAGAGGAGGGGGGGATGAGGAAAAAACCCTATGATCGGAATAATAGAACGGGGGAGCGTTGTAAAAGGTTCTGTAGATAGGGGAGGTAGTGGGGGGGAGGGGGGGAGAGCAAGAGAGGGATACCGTGCAGTCCAGTATGATACTTTACGAGTACAAAAAAAAAATATATGGAAGCAGAAGGGATGGATGGTATCATACAGTGGTACTCGAGTACAGTACGTGCCGGCGGTACCATAATTACCGTATGGCCCAAAGCAGATGCAAATGTGAAACGCAACGAATGAAACGGAGCAACCCGGTCCCAGAATACGGCTCTGACGTCCAGTGCTGAGTGCTGGTTTCACGGGTGGCAGGTTTCGGCGGTTTGGCTGGCCAAATACAGGTACGATACAGCAAAACACACGTATGATACGAGCATCGTACAAGTACTATGTACTATCAGACCCATAAAAACCAAGCTTCCTTTCCGCTACTTTCCTGACCCCGCTTTTCACCTTCCTAATCAGGAGGGTGGTTAGGGGCCAGAACACCAGACTCCCCCTCACAATCTTTCCCTCACCTAACTTTCTTGGGGCTTCATATGGCTTGGGTACTCAACTTTCATCGTTTGGGTAACGCAAAACACGTCCTTTCGCGCTGGGGATTCGTCTCCGGCCAGACTGGACTCTAAAACTCCTCCTTCCTCCCTCCTGGGTTGGCATCTCGCCTTTATGCCCTGTGAGGTTTCGAAATTCCCACCTGCTTGGTTCTTTCCCCCAAGTAGGGACGCACAATACGGGTCAACACTATGGCTGCGGGGTCGGTATTGCACTGTCTCAGGTCTCGATTGGTCGGTTGACTCGGATGCACTCAGAGGGGGGGCCGGCATGCCCTGGTTGGACCCCCCGACGCTACGATTATACTGAAAGGTTCCCCTGTGTACGCCTTCCTGCTTTTCAATGGCAGGGCCGGGAGAAGACGCAGGACGATGTCATGTC